TTTTATTATATATTAGCTATTATTATATATTGTTTTCCCGCGACTTCGCCTGCATAAATTATAGCTTATATCACCAGCGTATGAGTCTATTCAAGTAGTTTCGGAATCTATTTAATGCAAACAAACATGGAATTTTTCTCTTTATAATTTTAGAATAGAATAGATAATGAGTTTGATTTTACGTTATGTTTTTCTATTTGCGGGTTCCTATGAAAAGGTTCTATTGAAGCCTGTTTAAGTGCCTGACTGTTGTACATGTTTTATATTGCATTTATTCTATTGTATTTACGGCATGGATGTTTTTATGTTTCATTTAGTTACATGTCTAAAAATACATAAACAGGGTAGAGATCCGCTGCGGTATTCGGGCGAGAAAAATACACGAGTGGCCCAGTTTAAAGAGAAATGTTTGATATTTATATTCATTACGGTAAGTGCAAAGCGTTTTGACGCAAAACTGACGTTATAAAGTCACAGCAAATGCGAGTTAAATGCGATAAACTTGAAAACTATACAACTGATTTTGATACAATTTGACTGACAAATAAAGAGATTTATTACGTAAGTTTTGCTGTAAAATTGAATAAAGTTTTATATGATTATTAATATTGAAGGCTACACAAATAATCATGCTGATTTGATTAAAGAATATCACTACCGTGCCTTTTTGGATTGTGCAAAATGACGAGCAGCTGAAAAGCATAGGTTCAGACAATAATCATCCTCGAAGCTCTTTTTTGACTGACGTCTGAAAGACCATCACTTTATATTAATTTTCCTGATAGCTCATCAAGATGTGGGGACATTTACTCCCTTATCATAACGGTGTAGAGTATAGAATGGCGCTTAGTGCCTTTGTTAGTGTGGTGCCTATACGTCGGCTCGTGACAGTTTTGTTGACCGCACCCATTAGCTGCGAACGACTACGACTACGTGACAAACACATTACCCCCTCGTTTAATTGTTTGAGGTGAAAATGAATTCGCATACCACACAAAGTAGTTTTTTGATAAAAGTTCTGATTCCAATAGTTTAGTAAAGAGTCTCATGAATAATATAAAAGCAACACAGAACAAAGAGGTTATATTTCAACAGAAACAAATATAACCTCTTTGGTGTTAATAAAAAAAAATATCAAAATAATAGAACCGACTACAATTTTTTTTTATGATATTTAGTGGATACTGAATTTTTCTTTATAACAGGCAACACTCTAAATATTTAATAAAAAATTATGTCAAAGTGCTGAAACTCTTAGGAAAAGAGATTTCGTTTATTTGCTCTACATATTTTTTTACATTACATATCTTTACTAATATTAGAATGAGGGAAGGTTTGATAGTTTATTTGTTTGCATTGAATAAAGTAAGTACTGGACTAATTAAAAAAAAACGTCTACAGGGAACTACATCGTACGTGGGGGGCTTAATGAAATATAATTTGTGTTGACTTTTTAAATAAAATAGAATCGTTATTGCTACTTTCGCAAAGGTCAGTCATGGGATAGGTGACCAAAAAAAGTTATCTCGAGCTACTCCGTGCTTCGGAAGGCACGTTAAGCCGTTAGTCTTGGCTACATTTGCAGTCGTTAATACTCTCCGACCTACATTCGGCAAGCATAGAGGGTCATGGCCCATCCTTGACAATCTGTAAGGAAGGCCTGAGTCCCTGCAGTGGGAACGTAAATGGGCTGATGATGATGATGTCCAAATAGTAAGACGAAACAAAATAACGTCATGACATAGCTAAGATGTACCTTGCGGCAAGAGAGTCGTGCGTGCGCAGTCATGAATACCAAACTCTTCGAAAGTTGCTGAATCTCTGTAATTACATGAACACGCTAACCACTCCGCTATCGGTGACCTGTAAAGTCTCCATCCCGACAAAGAATAAAAAAATAAAAAATAACCGAACCATTCCAGTGTATGTTCGTATCGCACTAGATGTATTTTTATAGTTTGCAGTTATTGAGTTGCCTCGCTCTTACCCTTGAGTCGGCAATAAAGGACTTGTTCTCTTATTGTCTTTGGCCAGCAACTATATTGATTTAGAGATTCTATTTCTGTACGAATCTCGAGGAGAAGCAGAGAGATTGACTGAACATATATTTTTTTAATAATCTGTATTAAATTTTACTTCAATTGTGACATAATATGCTAACGCTGTACACGCTTATTATTGGTGCAAATATCAGATGTGATTCTTGGTGATTATGTTGTTATTGTTATGTCTTATGATAATAAATAAATAAATAATCCAATGATAATTATCATTGACATTTTCACATAACGTTGCCATTCTACTTCTATCCCTAATCTCCAATAAAAGCATTATCAGACTTGCAAAAAATAACATATTATAAATTAAAACAATAAAATTTGATTTATAAACATGTACATATTTATATTTGATATTATTTTTGTAAGATTCGAAAGCCTTTCTATACTTTTAATACACTTCAAAAACTAAAGGGAGACATTGCTTTGTAACCACTATTAAAGCCCTTGTAAGTACTTAATATCAAACTTAAAAAATCGTCTTCATATAGTTGACGACCTTGATTTCATTGCGTTTCCATAACAAGTGTTTTGCATCGAAAATAGACGAATGTTCCCTTTTGATGCTGATTTATCTGCTCGCCTCAATCTTGGCTCAGTAATGAAGTATAAATGGACGCGCAAATTACCTTACTTGTGTTATTGGCTTGAAATATCATCCAATATGAACGGTAAAGCTTCCTTATTTCACAAAATTCACATATATTTTTCTCTAAATAACATAAAAAAGTATAACTACTATAATAAATAACATACTACTCATATAACCAGCATTAATTCAGAAGTATTTCTTTTTCTTACTTTCTCTTTTTCTTTTCTTCTTCAAATTGGATTATATTTCAAGTTTTTAACTTGAAATATAATCCAATTTGATATGACTTTTTATATTGTGTTGAAATGAAAAAACATTTGAAGTAGATGGAAGGTACATATCATTAGTTGAAATTTTCGCTCAGAAGTATAGTCTTATTCTATATTTCCAAGTCTGAAATATTCCTTTCTCATATCACAATCACTAGACCCAAACTAAGTCACAAACACATAATTAATTATATTTTAGTAAGAAATTAATAATTAATAAGGAAATTTTGTGCATTTAAAATATATTATGGCTATGTAAAAAGTATATTCATCATTTTGGTAGTCCTCTACGCCACAGCAATGTAGCCAAAGTAATGAATACCAAACGGATGTTCTCATTGTAATTTCCCAAATAATTAATTAATTAATTTCATATTTACAGGTCATAAAATCTAGGCAATTATCTAAAACATACTAACTCATGTCTATACAATAAATCATTCTGCTCATTATGTAAAACTTGCCACCGAACCGATCGGACGCGGTAAACAAAAGACACTTACCTCGGGAACGAGTTAAAACCTGCGCACAGGCCTTCGTTTCCACAAACATGTGAAGGCCCAATTAACACTTAAGATGGTCCGAAACAAAAATATGACATGAAATCGATTAATTAATAGAAAACAAATAGTCAACTGCATGTATCGTAAATTAAATTTTCAGGGGATAAAAACATGTTGACGTCTCAGTTTTAAATTTAAAAGTTAATATAGTTTTTGCGCTTTAAAATGTGCAGTGAAGTAAAAATATATGATAAAATTTCGTGTAACAGTGACCTTTTTTGTGTGCGCATTTTGGAGCGGGACAAGTCTTCCAGGGAGAGGTCGCTCATACTAGTCGGATATTTGACTTTAATTTCCTTAAAGTTTTATATTTATATATTTTTTTTATATACGGTTATATTTTCAAAGAATGCATGAATTCAGTCTGTTTTTAATAATAGTTTTTCTTAGATCATAAGACGCCTATAAAAGCGCGCTCAAAAAATTACCCATTTATGGTAAGACTATGTAAATCTATAAAGAATACCATCGCATGGTGTGGAAACCAAACGGGTCTTCTTTCTGCCATTTTTCCTTTTAAACAATAGCTTGGCAAAGGATACTGTAGATACTTTAAGTTTTCTTCTCACATGAAAAAAAAAACCTTAGCTTTTCATCAGGTCCGTTTTTGCAGTAAAAAACTCTAGTGTTTCCATTGGATCAAGCAGACGAAGCCGCGGGTATTCAACAACAGCTTGCTATAAATAGCATGCGGATATTTTCAGGTTAACTATGAGTGATTGTTTACAAACATTATCTGCGTTGAGTTGGCTCAATAGATAATCTTGCAAATTGGAACAACGAATGCGATATTGTTTAAAATCTTGCACATGGCTGTTGTTAGTCTTGAGAACAATCGAGTACTAAGTAATCTCATTAATATTTGTATACTCATTTCCACTTCACTTTTTGGAGTTCCTTGAACATGGAGATTTGTTTGAGCATCTTGTTCCTTTTTAGCAATATATGACAATTCGGAAGAGATACCTGCAGCCCTACCGCACAACGATACGTATATTGGCTTTGATTGGGTTGATATTGGTTTCAATCAAAATAACACTGATCGTTCAATACTGTATTGCACGTCATAAAGAAAGGAAAAGAAGTCTATTTATTACTGATTATTTATATATTTTATTTTTTACTCACAAAATCCTTAATTCTTACGCTCTATGTTATCACCAGTGGTCGGAATTAGGTAGAGTTATTCATGTACTTACACTGATTTCATACAGCGAAAGAATAAAGTGGATATGCCTGAAATACCGAGATTAGTTTTAAAGAGCAGAAAAAATCCCGTGATTTTTTAAATAAAAAGTTATTTACTTTTACACAATTTAAACTACTGCACGCACGACGTTGCCAAACTTACATCAATGACATCGGATGTCCAAATGTCCACATGTACGCGTGTTTTTGGCTTTATAACATCACATACAATTACACAGGATCAACCTAATCGTGAACTTGTTCCTTAAATTATCTCGGCTTCTACTTCCTTCCGCGTTCGCTATAGTAATGAAATATTATTTGTTTACAGTTAGAAGATCGTCATGCACAAAGGTCGGTGTCGAGGGTAGCGGCAGCATCGCCGAGCTGATCAACACCAACATCACCGTGCTCAACGCGAAGGCCATCCATAAGGCCGGTTACCATCTGCACGACATACAACACTTGTTAGTTCAGTCTTCATCTTCTTCACTTTTACTAGCTTAACGCAAGCGGGTTCGATTCGTTCGTGATTTTCCTGCTGAACTTCTATTACTCATAGCGTGATATTAGTCTACAGCTTTCTCAATAAAGAACTATTTAACACAAACATAATTTTTCAATTCGAACAAGCAGTTTCTGAGATACGCGTCTAACCAAACAAACAAAACCTTCAACTTTGCAAAACTACTTGCTTTTCGCCATCGGCATATTGGCATAAATATTAGTAAGATTATTTACTCTTGTGTAAACAGCAATTTGGATCTCGATTCAGATTGTGACATGAATATAATTAGATATATAATTACAATTTAAATAGTAAACAATGATTACGTTTTGATTCCTTATATAATCGTCTACTTCCATTTTCATCCCTTTGCTGAAATGAAATGAAATGAAATGAAATGAAATGAAATGAAATATCTTTATTCAAGTAGGCTATTACAAGCACTTTTGAATCGTCCAAAAATTTTTTTTCCCCCTACCACTTGTTCAGGACGTCTTTTAGCTGACAAGAAGAACAAGCGAAAGAAACTTACCAACTTTTTATCATAAGTAATGACATTTACATAAATCATATCATTACCAAAATAATATGTATTATCACAATAATAAATACAACTTTCAAAGTCTGTAGGACATAGGTTGAACATATAATTAGTCTTTATAGAACAAAGCGAAGGCTGTTAATTCCATGCATTGCGATCCTTAAAATAATCATCAACTTTATAATAGCCTTCACTCATAAGTATATTCTAAATTTATTTATGGGTAGGTCAATTACATTTTGTGGAACTTTATTGAACATAGCAATACATTAACCAAGAAATGATCCTCTGGTTTTTTGAAGTCTGAAACTTGGAACGGCAAGTTTATTTTTATTTCTTGTGTTAAGATTATGAACACTACTTTTTTTTGTGAAGGAATCGTAATGTTTTCTTGTATACATAATATTCTCATAGATGTATTGAGAGGCAACAGTCAGAATATTTATTTCTTTAAATATTTCTCTTAGAGATTCCCTAGACCGTAAATTATATATAGCACGGACAGCTCTCTTTTGTAAAATAAAAACATCCTGAATGCTAGCCGCAGAACCCCATAACAATATACCATACGTCATTACACTATGAAAATAACTAAAATATACCAATCTTGCCGTTTCAACATTTGTCAAGAGTCTAATTTTCTTAACAGCAAAAGCTGCAGAACTCAGTCTACTTGACAAGCTATCAATATGAGGATCCCATTGCAGTCGGGAATCTAGTGTAATACCAAGGAACTTTGTCGATTCTACTAACTCAACTTTTTCACTATTTACATTTATAAGTGTACTGACATGCCTCACATTAGGTAATGCAAACTTTATGCATTTCGTTTTATTTGAATTGAGCTTTAAATTATTATTATCAAACCACTGTAGAACGTTGTCGAGAGCATTATTTACATCGTCAAAACAATCATTACCCCTCTCAACTTTAAACAGTAAAGAGGTGTCATCTGCAAATAATACTGTCTCGCACAAATTCTTCGTAAAGTGAGGAAGATCATTTATATAAATTAGAAAAAGCAATGGTCCTAATATCGATCCCTGAGGTACGCCCATAGTAACTGGTGCCCCTGCAGATTTCGCTTCATTGATTACTACCTTTTGTATTCTAGCAGAAAGATATGATCTTATTAGATGAAGTGAATTTTTCGTCACACCATAATGTTCTAATTTCCCCAACAGTGTTTCATGACTAACGCAGTCGAATGCTTTTGATAGATCACAAAAAATGCCAATAGCATCTTGTTTATTCTCCCAAGCATCATAGATATGCCTCAGAAGTGCAATTCCAGCGTCTGTTGTACATTTACCTCTTCTAAAGCCAAACTGATTTTGGTGAAGTAATTTATTTAATGAAAAGTGTGCAAGCAGTTGATTGTACATCATTTTCTCAAATACTTTACTTAATGCTGGTAGAATAGAAATTGGTCTGAAATTACTAGGATCAGACTTGTCGCCTGCCTTGAAAAGTGGGATTATTTTACCATATTTCATTAAATCAGGAAAAGTTCCTTCATCAATGCACTTATTAAAAATAAAAGTTAATTGAGGTGCTATAGCTGGTATTATAGATTTGATAACATAAGTTGAAACGCCCCAAAGATCTTCGGTTTTTTTGACATTAATACAATTAAATGTTTTAATAATTGAGCAGACGTTAACGTGTCTAAAATAAAATTCAGTATTGCACTTATCAACAACTGACTCTAGATGCGTAACCGCAAGTTTAGAACATGAACTAAGATTTCTTGTGATTTCTATTGGTGTCTTAGAAAAGAATTTCTCAAATGTCTCGGCAACCGCTTCATCTGTTTTAATAATTTTATTGTCAACCTCTAATGAGTATGTGCGCATATTACTTTTATTTTTTCCCGTTTCTTGATTTATGATAGTCCAGGTTGTTTTTATTTTATTTTCTGAATTGTAAATTTTTTCAGATATATATTTTGCTTTTGCTGAAACACATACTTTCCTAAAAATTTTCGAATAATTTCTGACATATTCAATAAACTTTGGATCGGTCGAGGTACACTTTAGCTCATACAAATCATACAGCCTATTTCGACTTTTGTAGATGCCAGGTGTAGCCCAATCACTAAATTTCTTTTTTTGGTTAGTAAAGTTAATTGTTTTGAGTTTAAATGTTTTATCAAATTCTCCCTTTATCAAGTTAAAGAAATTATTATAAACATCATTTATATTTTCCAAATTACTAGTTGTCAACTGAGTATGATTTGCAGAAACACTGTTTTTAAATTTTTCTAAATTACTTTTGGTAATAGGTCTACAAATTATATTGCATTTAGGAGAAACATGATGGTGCTCGAAAGTTGCTAGAACTCCGCTATGGTCAGATTGAATACAATTTATAATCGATTTTTTGAACACCTTACATTTACAAAAAATATTATCTAAGCAAGTAGCAGATGTGGGTGTAATGCGGGTAGGTTCATTAAAAATATTTTCTAAATTAAAACATTTAAACAAGTTCAAAAATCTACTTGATTTAGCACATTTTATTAAAATATCTATATTAAAATCACCACATATCACTACTTTCTTATCGACTTTGCAAATTAATTTAAATGCATCCTCCATAGCAGATTCAAATTGACAGTAGTCCCCATCAGGTGGTCTATATACACATATAATAATATACTGTTCAAGTTCCACACATGACAATTCAATATGTCGCTCAATTGAGAGGGATACTATATCTTTACGTTCTTTACATTTTAAATAATTACTTATTATTATTAAAGAACCCCCTCGTATGGCATTTATCCTACAGAATGAACTTATAATTTTATAATTTTTAAAACCTGTAATTAATTCATAATTTTTGAGCCAGTGCTCTGTAATACATATTATATCAATATTCATACTATTTAAACACATTTCTAATTCTAGATCTTTTCCAGAAAAGCCTTGTATATTTTGGTGAACAATAGTTAAATAGGTAGACTTTTCCTTGGTCATCTCATTGCTAGAGATTTTCTCTATTGTCTTATTAAACAATTTAAATTATTTAAATTGTCAAAATTTAGTTTTGGAACATATTCCAAAGTCTGTTTGTTTAAGTCAAAATCATTCTGTTGTTAAGAAACAAATCTTTTTTCATTATATTGTTGTTTACATATAGATTAGAAGTACAACATATGAAAAAAAACAAAGAAAAGAGAGATTCCTTTAAATGTGCCTTAAGACTAAAATGTTCTTAAACGCTATGATGCACAAGTTTATAAACCAAAGAATAAAATAGTTTATTCACTTGACGTTGGCAGAGTTGTGCGAAACACGCAGATAATTCATTAATTAAAGAAAAGGAATCGAATTTTCAATTTCGCATGCAATGATTCTTTGCCATACTAACGTCCAGCAAAAAAACGAAATGCTTAAGGATTAGGCACAAAGTAGTGATACCGTGCTTAAAGTCCAGTAAATAAATCGAAATGCTTTAGGGTTAGGCACAATGCGGTGATACCGTGCTCGCCGTGTGAAATGCGATCGCAAAACTATGCTAGCCGATACTCATAACAAGTAAGAATCACAATTCTTGTCTAAACCTAAAAAAAACACTGAATCTCGAAACAGAATAATATTTCAGAGATTTTTTATAGGTAGGTAGGTGATATCATCGTGGTATTGCGCTGTAGGTACATTTGTAGTTGCAAGCTAAGCAGTAAGTTTAACGTAATTGTGTGGATTTGTTATTGATAGATCATACATGTCCATACTGTTACCCAGCAATTAGTATAACTGTGGCCATACATAAACAATGTTTTAGTACATAAAAGTAAAATAACAATTTTCGTTTTATGATTATAATTGCATTTTTCCAATTGGGGTCCAAAATTTTATTTTAAGTCTCTGTAAGCAGAAAACGTGCAATTGAGCCGCATATGACTAGCCGACCAAGCGAACTTGATTAGCAAGAATAATGCGCATTCAATTAAAAACTGCAAATGGGTAAATTTTCAAGCGTACTTTTGTAGGTGTATAAGCTTTATAAAAATAAAGTATCATTGAAAACAGACTAAACTCACGCGTTCTTGAAAATATACCTCGTAATATAACCGTATATAAATAATAGATTAATATAAAACTTAAAGGAAATTCCACTTCGAATATATGTCTTATATGAGCGGCATTTCCCTGGGAGACTTGTCCCTCTCCAAAATGCGCTCACAAAAAGGTCACTATTACACGAAATTTTATCATATATTCTATTTACGTATTTCACATTTTAAAGAACAAAAACTATACTTACTTTTAAATTAAAAACTGAACGTCAACATGTTTTTGTACCCCGAAAATTAAATAAACAAAAGAGAAATGTAGAGCTATTAACTGTATGAAAGACAAACAAGTTCCAACTGACGTCAGTATAGTTCATAGGTTGATTTTACGGTCGTATCCGGACCAATATTTATGCATCTGGCCGTTCTAGCCTTTTTAGGCCTTTTGATACTTATAGGTAAATAAATAAAGGCATGACTTGGACGCACGGGGTGTGGCCATTCCCGTGCGATGTCTGAGAAATGACTAAGCATTATGGCTTAAAGAATCATTAAGGCTAAGATACAAAGAGACGAAATCAACAGCAGTGCTAATCTATATTTATATAAAAGGAGATATCCTGACATATTGACCACAGCCTAAACCGCTGGTCGTAGAAACTTGAAATTCGGAGAGTACATTCTTTATTACGTAGAGGTGTACTAAGAACGGGTTTTTAGAAACTCAACCCCGAAGGAGATCAAAAAGGGAAAATATTTGTAAGAAACTTCTTTGTTTTTGGACCTATATCGGTACTTAGGTATTTTAAGACCATAGGAAGATAATAGGTTATATGTTATCCCGAAAACTGCTACTTAAAGGGTTGAAAATGGGAGTGAAAAGACTTATGGGGAATCAAAATGATACCCTAACAAACATTGTTTAGAATTTGGTCATTGTAATAATTCCATCTTATATTATTTATAATGATTTAACGCCCAAAACGGGTAAGCTAAGGGAGATGTTCAATAAAACAATCAAGAAAAGTAACTGCAACTTATATTTGTACTCATAGGAATGTTTATTTATTAAACTTTTGAAAACAAAACACAATCATAGTACTCTTCTTATGTACTCAAAGAAAAATAAAGAAAAAAAAACCTTCGAACTACCCGCTTTGCCCGTAGGGGGGGCCTAAAACGGGTACCGTCTTTGGGCAAAACGGGTAATGAATAAATCTACGAAATAAATCAACTAAACTATTATTTTTATCATCTTAACCTTTAATTATAACATAATGACTTTTTTTATCCTTAATCAATCTCCATAACAATCACATTATTTTTTTACTTATTTAAATCCTGCATTTAAAATTACATTTCTATCATTAATAAACAAACTAAAGTTATTCTTGACAAGCATCACAGTAATAAGAGCCTCTACCAGAATATCCAGTGCACGCTTCGTGAGTCCACATTTGGCAGTCATCACATCTGATCCAGTCTTCGATAGGTAGGTGTACATATAACTCAGAACAAACCAAGCATGAATATTCAGTTTCCTCATTTTTACCTTTTCGACCACGTTTGGGTTTTTTCTTAAAAATTTTCTTTATGACGTCAATTTTAGTTTTTGAAACTATTTTCTTATTCTCTTTTTCTCGTTATTGATCCTTTATCGGTGTGCTTATAAGTATTTCAGCTTTCTGTGGCTTACGTCTTCGAGTAGTTTTTTTGTGGGATCATTTGAGGTAGTGGCCTGATGTTCAGTGGGGTCATATGCTGTTTTTCAGGTTGCAGGCCCGTATCTTCTGCTAAAGTCTTACATGCTGTTAAAGGTTCATCAAAAGATTAAACAACTGGAGTTGGAGTATTGCGCGAACTTATAGGTTCATTAAAAGGTTGCGGTTCGGGTTCGTTTTCTTCCATAGGCAAATTATTGTCCACATTTTGATTCAAAATAGACAGTGACACAGTGCGGTCAGAATCGAAAGATGATCGAATATTTGCATCACAGGGGAAAGATGTTTCAACATGATGTTCGTTACCAGCAACAGATATCTCTGGAACATTAGCAAGTGACTCAGTCTCATTTTTAGTTAATGGCTCTGGCCTATCAGTCATACTGGCTGGCATGTAATCACCGTCGTTAAATATGTGTCGATTGGTTGGCCATATACCAGTAGAAGTAAATCCTTTTATTGCATTATGTGCACTAGCCGCTTTAATGTAGGCCTCGCCAAACAATTTTGCCACATCATACTGTGATATGATGCGCCCGACATGTGTTCGTTGAAACAATGAAATAGCCTGCTCAAAATAATTTTTGAATGGACCGTATACACATGTATCAAGTGGTTGTAGGCGATGTGTCGTGTGTGGTGGTAGAGACACAAAAATCACATTATGCTTTGAAGCATACTCTAGGACTTCAAGATACTTATGCGATTCGTGATTATCCATCACTAAAATAATTTTTTTATCAGGTGTTGGCCTAGTCATACTCACAAAGTGACGCAGCCACATTGTTTTAATCAAGGTTGTTTTGAAATCAAATTAAGTAAGAACTTTACTATACTGATGAGTAGCTCGGTGGATAACCACCGCGGCCCGCCCTCATTGTTGTTAAGCGACCTTCGCAACGAGAGGGGTGACCAATAAATTATTATCTCGAGCTACTCCGTGATTCGGAAGGTACGTTATACCATTGGTCCCGGCTGTACTACAGTTAATGCCTTGAATATATATATTTTTTTATAAATTAAAATTGTTTTTTTGTGCCGTGATCCTTCACAGTTAACCTGCCCCCTGATTGTCTAATTTTAAATCTATTGCAATCGCTTTCAGTTTGAAAGGTGTTGCACAACCATTGCTGCATAATACAAATACTTTTTTTCAACTGTCTTCAGAAAACAAGCAATGGTTATACAACATCTTTCAAACCGAAGCGATAGCTATAGATTTTAAAGTTAGACAAGTCCCCAGTTCTTTAGGTTTTTTAAATGGACGTTGTGATGGTAAATCAACTGATCGACGTTTAGCCGTGCAAATGAATGACGTTATTCTATTACGTGACTAGCCGCCTAATTGGACGTATCTTTTACCCAGTTGGCTATGACAGATTCATTATACGAGTATATTAACAATTTAAACTTTGAATTTTAATTTTACAGGTATGAGTTTTAAAGTCGATCAAGCAATTGTTCTATATTAATATTATACATGCGAAAGTATGTTTGTGTATATGCCAGTTGCGTTCTCATGCCTAATACACTAGAGTTGACTCGAGGTAGGACATAGGTAGCTTTTTATTGTGGTAAAACGGTTGCAATAAAGAATTTAAGCTTGTACGGAAGTTTGACATTATAGAAGATAATATCATAAAACTTCATTTTAGGTATTTTACACGATACAATGAATAAATATTCGTTTAAGAAATTCTGCCCAAAGTATACCATGCGAACGAAGTCGCGGGCAAAAGCTAATCTGTCATAAATAAGCCTCGAACACCTCGAGTACAGGTTTAATCATATAAAATCTTCTTTAAAATACAATAAAGGTTACAGAATAGATAAAAAATCAGGCACTGATATAACGAAAAGGTGATGACATAGGATAAGATGTCCAGCCCAAACATTTATCAATTTCGCTAAAAAAATAATACCTATTATTTCGAGAAGAAATTGAATACAGTTAAAGTTTTACATTATAAAATTTAACTGTATTAAATTTCTTCTCGAATTAGGTATAATGAAGATATAAAATAATGCGATAAAACGGTCTTTACTTACTGTTACAGAACTATAATCAATGCACCAAGACTGCACCACATTGTAGTGGAAGATCTGACTAAGATGCCGAAATTAAAATCATTGTAAGTAGTAATAAAATATATATATATAAAAAGGATTTTATTTGTTATACAGTTAGTTTTGATATTATTGTCACTGCTGGCTTCTGCAGAATACCAGTGCAGTAGGCCGTTTACTGCTTATGAACTGATGTTAGGTTGACAACACACACCACAGCACATTCTATCTCTTTAGTTTTTTTAAGTTTATAAATGTTTTAAATTGTTTTGTGTATGTGGTGTGTGTTATTGAATAAATACGTATGCTATTCCATTTTCTTGAATTGCCCATTTGGTTTGTTTTACAGTTATATATCGCAGGCGCCGATGCTGGAACGCATAGCGGCACTTCCGCCCTTGCCCTTACTACGCACTTTGTACGTATGTGTCTGTTTTATGTTATTAAAAATCATATTTCATCATCACACTAGCTGTTTCCCGCAACTTTGCCCGTGTGGACTGTAGTAGTATAATTCGTATAATCTAGCTTCCTGTAGGTAAATGATTTTAAAAACGATCCAATAGTTCTGGAGTCTATAAAATGCAAATAAATAAACGACCCAACATTACCTCTTTACACCGTTATATATTTATTGCCGGTTGCAGGGTGTCGCCATCACTGAGGTCCCGGGTTCGATTCCCGGTCGGGTCAATGTAGAAAATGGACTTTCCTGATATTGTCTCGGGTCTTAGCGGTGTTGTTACCTTCGTTTTCTCAGATACTCCATAATAAGGGGGCTTTAGCTACTCTCATCTTGGAATCTTGAATCATCTTGAAAAAATGTATGTGATTTTGTATAATATTTATATTTATTTATTATTTACTCCATCAGGACGTATAGACCTCCCGAAAATAAAATTTCTTCTATTTTCGCAATGCTAATTACTATTTACTCCATCAGGACGTATAGGCCTCCCAAAAACAAAATTTCTTCTATTTTCGCAATGCTAATGTGACTCCAAAGAAACCCATTTTTATTATGATATACCCGACACCGTATCTGGTGTACAGATAATCTTCACGGATACGATTGAAATGAAATTATTAGAACAATTCGAATTGTTAGGAATTTTTCTTGCGCGGACAAACTGATGAGGTCTGTGCTAAGATTGTCGGATTTTTTTTACTATTCTACACCATACGTCTTATCATATTTCTTAATCCAGATCCGAATAAGTTTTAAAATAAAGTGCAGCAATCCCCTGCATATTTTCTGATTATATATGCCACCATCATCATCATCACAGCCTTTTACAATATCCGCCCTCGGATATAGGCCTCCTCCAAAATTCTCCACTGCTGTCTATCTCGTGCCACCTTCATCCAATTTGAACCGGCAAATGTCGTCACGTCTCATCGGGGGATGGTCTCTGCCTCTAGTGTTTCCCCATAGTCTCCATTCTAGTACTCTCCTGTTCCACCTTCCCTGATCACTCTGTCCACATTTTCTCTTTTATAGTAATAATAACATCTCTAACACGAGTCTGGCTTCGGATCCACTCGTTTTCTTCTCAGTCCGATTGTTTTATTGCGAGCTCTTTCTATGGCTCGTTGTGTGACTTTTAGTTTTTGGAAGACTTTTCTGTTAGAGTTTTCATTCCATAAGTTAAAACTGGCAGTACACGTTGGCGAAAACACTACTTTTGAAATATTATGGGATTTTTGTGGGATTTTGATTATATATTTACGTCTTCTATAGAAATGAACAATTTGGCTCGACTTTATTCGATTATACCAATGTACTTGATTTGATAATCTTGATTATAGATTTATATGTTGGATGTTAATATATCAAATTTTTCAGTATAGTTATAACGTCTGGACTGGTGGAGGTGCCCAATTTGAGCCATGTGCACGACTCTAAGAGGGACAAGACGCCATATCTCCAAGCTATGTGAGTACCTATAAATATGTAAATGAAAATTCTGTAAATTGTCACGGGCTTGGGTTTTGTGGTAAGGTTTTCTCTTGACTAAGATACTCCATACGAAGGCTTTAGGTACTAATATTGGAATCTGAGCAATGAAGGTGATATTGTCTCATAAATAATTTATTCTTTTCAGCATTAGTAATGATGATGATGATAATATTTGTGTTTTCAGTGATTTGGAAGGTAATCATATAAAACGGATACCGCCCCACGCCCTTCGCATTTCCGCCGATCATGTGTAAGATCTTGTTTTTTTATAGACTTTTAATTATAACACCAATATGCACTCATTTTCTCATTGCAACATTAAATTTTCAGGTCACTGAATCTAAATCTGATCGAGGAGGTACCGCCGTTTGCTTTTAAAAACGCTGTCATTTCAAAATTGTGAGTTACTGTAACATTCTATAATACTGCTTTTTAATTAAACAAAATAACAAAATACTTAAATATATTTATATAATAATTCGAGTAAGCAGACTCATAAATAAGTTTCATTTTGGACATTCTGTAAGACATTAGACAATAAAACGAATTGTCTTCTAATTTACTTTGTTTTTTTTCTTTCTTCAGAAGTTTTAAAGGGAATACAAAATTGAGTCGACTTGATGAAAACGCTTTTGCTGGAATTCTTCTATTAAGACAGTTGTAAGTATTATATATATATATATATATATATATATATATATTTATTTTAATGTTTATATCCAAAATTACAGATTATTTATAATTTACAAACGAGATTTACCTATCGTCATATCAGGTATATGTATCGTTCTTCTTTTTTATCGACAATGACTTGTCTTCTCCGCAAAAAAAATAATATTTTGCTTATAAATACGAAATTCCTTAATTTTATTATAAAAAAAATGCACTTGACAATGCAAAAATTTAATATCCTCAAAATTAGATTTTATTCATAATTATTTTTTACAAAATCAGTGTGACATAGTATATAAAAAGCGTGACGGAGGTGTTATACATACTAATAAAGTGTGTCCCTCTTTGACTAGTAATGTAAACGAAGTACTCTCGTAAAAAAAAACATATTTAAAAGTTTCTATCTAAGAGCAATTACTGAAATACTCAACCTTTTTTATTACATTAATAAGAAGAAATAATTTTTAATGTTTATATTATTAAATAAAAAAATATTTTATTGGCTGTCTCCCGATGTATATGATTTTAGTTGCTACCTTCTGTCACTCATTTTATGGTACAAAATAGTGTGCATTAGAAACTTTGACCTTGGTCACTAGGTTCGAAAATAGTCCCCCTCCACCCCGCACTCACGCTATACGTTCCCGCGAACCGGCAATACCAGTCATTCGCCCGCAAACAGTAAAAGGAGGTGCGTGTGTTTATTCAGCGACCGCTCTGTCACGTAAGTTACGACTTCCAAATGTTATTCTAATTACAGGGTTTTAATATTAACTGATTAATTTATGATAAATATTTCATATATACCCAGTTTTTTGCGTAAATTATAATTAGGAAAATGCTGAATATCTCGAACACTACTATTTTACACCTCTGTCACGTAGCACCTCTGTCACGGAAATGTGTGACGGAGTGGTATAACTCGTGACAGAGTGGTCATTTTTGTATGGAACTTAGAACCTTAGTTAATATCCATAATAGATGATTGCTTGTTTTTTTATGTTGGTTATCCTATCGTCAACTATTTTGTTAATTTAAGGTATAACCATCAATTAAATGAAAAAATGGCATTATCTGCGGCTGAAAGTCAGCGACGGTGTCGTGAAAAAAGAAAGCTTAACCCTGAACTTGTTGTAGAAGTAAAACGTAAAGATTTAGAAAAATATCATGCTCGCAAAAAGTTAGTTAAGGATATGACACCAAAAGAACATAAAAAAAAAACAAAAAGACAATGGCAGATTAGAAATAAAAAGAGAAGAGAACAGAAAACTTTGCAGAACGTTTTGATGAACACTCCGGCTTCTACACCGTCTCCTTCAAGTCCCAGACTACTTCCGTTAAGTCCCAGATCTCGTTCACTGACTCCAGTCTCGTCTGTTGCCAGTAGCAGGGGAAGAAAACAAGTGCGGCGAGATAGATCACGCCTTTATAGACAAAATATTCATCTTCAAAACCAAACACAAGAATTACTTAGAAAAGTGCAGAAATACAAGAAAAGACTTCAGCGACTGAAAAAGAAACGAAATAAAGTGCTTACAACAACAACTCATAGTAAAAAAGAAAATGAACAAAGCAAAGAAGAATACAGAAAATATACTGTCTTATCAAATACCATTAAGAAACATTACAAGAACACAAACTACCACAAAACAAAACGCTATATTGAAAGTATACTTGAAGACCCAGCAATTCAACGTTCCGGACAAAAACTTCAACTGGCAATGGAGACCATTGGAATCAGGAGAGTGACAAAGTATTGTTTCATCTTGCCAAAAAATACTACATTAAAACAAAAAATTCATGATTTTTATCTCAGGGATGATGTGTCACAGGCCACTGCTGGAAAAAAAGAGACAGTAACTTATCAAAAAAGGAAGATGCAGAAAAATGTCATTACAGTTATTTTGCAAATTTAAGCCATTTTATGTCTTACCACCTTCAGTTGTTACTAGAGTTATTTTGCATAAAAATAAAGTTATGAAGACAAATGACATGAACCAGATAATCTTACAAACTGTATGCGATATAAATTGTTATAAGGTTAGTTTTGTTCGGCGGACGTAAACATTGTTTACCACTCCGTCACTTCGTTAACTACTCTGTCACAATTCTGTCCCCCTTAAAATTTTAGTTCAAAGTAAGTTATGAACCACTTTATTGTTAGTATTTACAAAAGTAACGTTTTCTAGTATTATATGTTAAATAATAAAGGTGTTCACTAGATTTTTAAGCGACTTTATTGGGCGACTTTCATAATATTAAAAAGTTTTATGTCTTATGAAGCAAAAATGTGACGGAGTGGTATTGGATAATTAAAAAAAATGATTATAAAAAAAATTCTGTCCTATGGAGCTAGATGATAGTAAATGTTTATGTTCTTGATAAGAAAGTAATAAGAAACTGAAGTTCTGATTTTAAATGAGACATAAAAAAAATAAATACTTTTGTGACTGAGGTGTTATTTTTTTCATACCATTCCTACGAAATTTGAAATGAAACGAAAATTACACGTAATACTTCGCTGCATTATATGTTTTTGTAATCTACAATAATGAGGCAATAATTTAAATCAAATTTCACTAAATAAATCACAAGTTAATTTTTTTATCAAATATAAAAATTTACAAGTCAGATTGTCGATAAAAAAGAAGAACGTCCCATATTACTATCTTTAGTATATACCTACTGTGTCAGTTCTGTTAGCGGGGGAGAAACTCTTGCGGCAGCGATAGTAGCGCGTAAGTTGCGTAACTCTTTTTCTGTAGGTCAAAAAACAAATAATGCGTTTGGCTGCAAATATCGTACCTAACTTTTGCACACGGAAAAATTTGCAACATGATATAGTTTAGTTTCTCTTAGTTATATTTACATAAGTTTTAGCATGTTAAGGATATCAATACTAAAGCATAAATTTAATAATTGTACAGTATACGGCAAAACGTTCCCTAAAAGACAAAAAAGGGATATAGTTTATGTAAATATTTCTCAACATTATTTCGTTTTCGCCTTGAAAATATTTATCAGAAAAGATGTGACAAAAATGTACACGTATAGATAGGGAGGTCGTTGTTACAAAAAGTTAACATCGATGCAATAACATAAATATATTATGTCGCAAAATTTAAATAATATTTTATGCTTTTATTTAAATTTCACCAATTTAGTAAACTAAATAAATAAAAATTGAATTATTTGTTAATCTGATTAAGAAATTAAATAATAAATCAATTACCCAAAATCCTTAGTTTTTTAAATGTCATATTATATCTATTCGGGTACTTTGACGTCACGACAAGGTTATGTCTTAATTTTATCATTTATTTTTGTTACTAAATTTTTATTTTTCGGTGAGATTATTATTTAAAAATATTTTAAAAAAATCACATATTTCTTATATGTCAAAGCATAGGTGTGGTTAAGAAAAAATATTTTGCAAAAAGAAGGGATCCTATTCTCATATGAGGTTATGGAAATAAATCTACACAAAATAAACATTCAATTCATAACTGTCGAAACACTCTCGCCAATTTTATGACTTCTACATCATCATCAGACAACACGCGATCACTTTTATTATCGTGAAAGGTGTGTCTTGACCTCCCCGGCTTCTACATACTTGTTTAAACGCTCTTTTTAATTTCTAACTGAATTAAAGAAAGTAAAATAAAAAAATGTTTGCATATGTCACTTATTAAAACCCTTTAAAAGTTGTCTTATTAAATTAGTAGTATACGTCTACTCATTTCTAGGTAGTGCTTTTGGAACAGAGTATAATATATATATATATATATATATATATATATATATATCAATATATATATCTTTTTCTATTCAACTTAAATGGGTAATTATTTTTGCAGAGATTTGAGCAGCACAGCCATTAGTTCACTGCCAATAACGGGATTAGAAAATCTACAAGTACTGAAGGTGGAAAAAACATCAACCCTCAAATACATACCGTCAATTTACGATTTACGGGTAATAGCATATACTATATAACATTTACCTATTTTATAGTTATGTGTTTTAGTTTATTACTATTCAAGACGATTATTTCGAACAATTATACTAATATAACAATGCTAATGAATCGAAACAGTATTATCACTTGTTTCGGTAGTGACATTGTAGCTTATAAAATCAAATTCCGTGCAAAACTCTGGGTCTGTTTATTTTTATTTTTTATTTTTAAATTACTGAATCTGTAGTATTCTATATTGAAATTTAATGTTTAAATTAATGAACCATCAGGGTCCTGGACTTCAACTAACGTACCTGTAGTAATTGTGTACAACTGTAGTAATTAAGATCCGCATTGTAATAAGGTTTGAAATTTCGTGCTAAAATACTTCTATTTCTGTTCAAATTTAATTGATTACCGCAGGTATCTTATATAAGTCATATTTATATGATTTATAAATTGTAATTAATTAAATCATATTTTCCTCAAGTAGCTATTGACGGAAGCCCATCTGACGCATCACTTCCACTGTTGTGCATTTGCATTCCCTGAGCGCCACGATCCGCAGAAACATAAGATCTACGAGGTCCAGATACAACATCTAAAGCAAGTGAGTATTAAGTATTAATTTACTTTGTATCTGATATCTAGGTATTGTATATAAGTGTAAACGGCGAGTAGCTCGGTGGCGTAGTGGATAAGCGCCGCGGCCCGCGATCGCAGTCGTTAAGCAACTTTTGCAAGGGTCGGTCACGGGATGGGTGACCAAAAAATTATTATCTCGAGATACTCTGTGCTTCGGAAGGCACGTTAAGCCGTTGGTCCCGGCTGCAATTGCAGTCGTTAATACCCTCCAATCCGCATTGGGCCAGCGTGGAGGGTCATGGTCCATCCTCCTTAACCATCCATAAGGAAGGCCTGAGCCCCTGCAGTGGGGACGTAAAAGGGCTGATGATGATGATAAACGGCGAAAGCAACTGGCTGACAAACTGATCTATTTTTGAAATATTCAAACCTCATGGTTGAATATGGGTTTAAAAAAGGGAATATAAGCCATGCGGGCAAAGCCTCTATTTAAATACGATATCTAATTGGCGACAATTTTTTGTGTATTTTATTTATTAATTAAAATAAATTAATTAATTAATTTCATAAAAAATTTGTAGAAAATGGAAACTCTTTTTGAGCCGTTATAGTAAATACCTCGCTGGGCGCCAAGTTGACACATCGTTTTTACTTGTTTATTTTGAGACTAATAGTTGAAAGCAAAATATTAACGTGAAATAAAAGCAAAATATTCTAAAATATTTCAGTTTCCTTAGATTTTACTCAACTATGTACTTTTTGGCAGAATTGTGGCAAACAAAAGAAGTCGGAGATGCGCAAAAAACGATCAGCGAAACCGGTAACGATTAATCCCAGGGAAAACAATTGGTTAGTATAGAAAAGTATCTTGGGTTTATAATTTTAAGATCGACTTCTATTTATATTTTTTTTATTCCACAGCACACATATCAGTTCCTTTGACTAGCGATTTTGCCTAGGACAGTGTTTCCTAACCTTTTCAATGTCACTACCCCTGTGAACAAGTATGGGAATTGAGTTTACCCCTAGCTAATTTAAAATAATTCAACCACACAAATTCGAACAAAAATATCTTTATTAGGTAAGAAATTGCAACTAGTAATATATAAATCTCGGACTTAACTAGTGTGAAGGTTGCTATTGCTTTGCATTCGCTAGTTTAACAATATAAGATTCGGTTTCACTCAACGCGCATCTCGTGTCATACTCTACATTCAGACAGTTTCTGGCTTTTGTTTTTAATGTAACAAGAGTCGACTAGCTACCGTATTATTATTTTGTTTATTATTTTAATACTTTTTCGTGCCAACTCTATTACCCCCCTAGAATTGCCGTTTTACCCCTGCGGGGGTAATCACCCCCAGGCTAGGAAACACTGCCCTAGGACCTTGGACCTAAACGTTACACTGATAGTATAAAACAACGAATTCCCCTATTATTAAAATTTTAGGTCTATTCTAAATCGATTTTACGAATTTATTATTGAGAAAATATCGTTTTGTGACGTGGCGTTTTTGTTAAATGGGAAGTCAACATTAATAGCAATTTACTCTGTGTAAGATATACTTTACTGGTGGGCGGGGCAGTGGCTCGGAGTCATATTTCTGCCACTTTCTATTTGTTCAAACAAGCGATAAAGGACGTTAGATAGTGCTAATTATAAAAACGAAGGTAAACTTTTTACGTAGAGTTTCTCACCCAACAAATAAAGCCGATCACCCTAAACTAAAACGTACAAGTTTAGGGCCCATATATCAGGTAACCATCTTAATATATAGTTAGTTAGTCCTACTAAGTTATATCAGGTAAACTTCTAAGGTTATTTTAAACCGTATATTAGAAAAAAGAAGTATAAGAATGATAACAATTTACGAAAAATCACAAATTTATTTTGTGGCACCTAATATGTATATTTGTATATGTTACAGGGAGTACGAAGACAACTCGACATCATCCATGAGCGAGGAGTACAGCTTCAAGGAGGACATGTTCGACTCTGACAGTTCAGAAGATGACGATCAGTTCCACGAGCTGGTTGAAGCGAACTCTACCCAGCCACAGTTTTCATACAACTGCGAATCTCTTATAATAAGGTAAGTTGGACAGAGTGTCGAATAGTAATGATCATCAACACCCATTTATTTATCACGATTGTTTTGTAAAATTATTATTGAGTTGCAAAATTAGTTAGTGTGATTATAAGTAGGTAAAACTTATGGTTGCTCTATAATAGGTTCATCGCTGTTAGCTTATTGGATCATAATATAACAATAAAGTAAAAGTAGATTCCAGATTCTTATATAGCACAGTCGCCGAATAAAAAGAATTCCGTACGTTGACCTTTGTATCTACTGATAGATATCGTATACGTAGGTTTACTATGACATGACCAGCCCTTTTACGTCCCCACTGCAGGGGCTCAGGCCTTCCTTATGGATGGTTAAGGAGGATGGGCCATAACCCTCCACGCTGGCCCAATGCGGATTGGAGGGTATTGACGACTGCAAATGCAGCCGGGACCAACGGCTTAACGTGCCTTCCGAAGCACGGAGTAGGTCGAGATAATAATTTTTTGGTCACCCATCCCGTGATCGACCCTTGCGAAAGTTGCTTAACGACTACGATCGCGGGCCGCGGCGCTTATCCACTACACCACCGAGCTACTCAGGTTTACTTTGCTATGACAAAATTGGCTAGATGCATCTGTGCCCAAACATATGGCAATAAGTTTGCGCACGAGTAAAAGATATATGTACAGTATTCTCTCTATTCGACGACCGCGCTATAGCGCCGAGCCTTATAGTCCACGTGCGATCAGAGCATTCGGGGGACATTTCTCAACTAGCAATCCACCCCAACTTCGCACGGATTAGTATTATCTATACTTTTAAACCTGCCCCGACATATTTATTATAATATTAGTCGATATTATCGATATCACAGACGTCGGAGCTCAGACGTAGATTTTTCGATGTATGCGCAGCGAGCGCCGGGTGCAGTGCACGCCGGTGCCGGACGCGCTGAACCCGTGCGAGGACGTGATGGGGTGGAGCTGGCTGCGCGTGAGCGTGTGGCTGGTGGTGGTGGCGGCGGTGTGCGGCAACCTCGCCGTGCTGCTCGTGCTGCTGGCCGCCGCCTCCGAGCGCACGGTGCCGCGCCTGCTCATGTGCCACCTCGCCTTCTCCGACCTCTGCACCGGCCTCTACCTGTTCATGCTCGCCGTCGTCGACCTGCGCTCCTACGGCGTCTTCTTCAACTACGCCTTCGACTGGCAGTACGGTGTCGGCTGCCAGATCGCCGGCTTCCTCTCCGTCTTCTCCGGTCAGCTGTCCGTCTTCACGCTCAGCGTTGTCACGTTGGAGCGGTGGTTCGCGATCACGTACGCGATCTACCTGGAGAGGCGCATCTCGCCGGCCGCCGCGAACAAGATCATGGTGGCCGGGTGGCTGTTCTCCGTTCTGATGGCGGGCCTGCCGCTGGCCGGCGTCTCGGATTACTCGTCGACTTCGATCTGTCTGCCGGTCGAGAGCAAGAACGTCGGCGACGGAGTGTACCAGGGCACGCTGTTTTTGACGAACGCCGTCGCGTGGGTGACCATCGTCGTTTGCTACGTGCAGATATACAGGTCGCTCGGGGGAGGCGGCGAGAAGTACGGGGGGCGGGGGGCGGCCGCCGCGGCGGAGAGGCGGATAGCCAACAAGATGGCCTTGCTCGTCGGGACGAATTTGCTCTGCTGGGCGCCCGTGGCGTTCTTCGGCGTCACCGCTCTCGCTGGCGCGCCTCTGGTCGACGTCAGCCACGGAAAAGTTTTACTCGTGTTCTTCTACCCGTTGAACGCCGTCGCGAATCCTTTCCTGTACGCGATCCTGACGAAGCAGTACCGTAGAGACTTCATGATGCTGATAGCGCGAACCGGCAAGTTCAATTGGCTGGTCGAGAAGTACAAATTGGCAACGACGCCGCCCCCTACGGCGCACACGAACCCGTCGGCGAATCAGGGAAATCTCTTACCTCTAGTGGAATATCAGCGCAGTCGGTCCCAAATCGGCAAAGAGAATGGTGATGCTTCATTTTAGATTGAATCAAAGACTTCTGTGTTTATTTTAAGTTTAGTCACAATGTAACTGATATTATAAAGACTATTTATTTTAAAATGCCTCATTTTTCCCTCCACATTATATTATAAGTTTGTTTTTTTTCAGATAAGTGACTGTTGTTTTTTTTTAGAAAATTAACACTATATAATTTCAATTTATGAAGATATGTACAATAAACTATCCCAACTTTGAGTTGGTAACACCCACCAATCCGTACTGATCCCCTGCTTCTATCATGCATTATCATACCTTTGGCCCATCAGAGATAAAGTAAGTAAAATCATTGCATCATCTGAACACTAGTGCCATCTGCTGACAGTAAAAAAAACAATTATTTAAAATGGACTGCAGAAAGAATCCCATATTTTCCAACAAAAATTATTTAATGTAAGCTTATTTATACAAATACATCATCAGCTTAGAAATAAATGAGTATTTTCATTTAATTTACTTAAGACTTCAGTGTCTATGTAATCTACAAACAGTCTATCTCCCTCTAGTAGAATATCATGCTTCATCAACTCTTCAATTTCTAGATCCATTTTCACAGGACTAATACAATAACCATCTAACTGACGGAACAGCCGCAGTTTAACATTTCCCATTTTGTTATTTTCATTAGTTATATTGCAAGAATCACATATACTGTCTATAGCTCGACCGAGACTCCATTTTGAACTAATAAACACAGGTACAGAATCTTTTAAATCCGGGTCAAGAGTGATGGTTTCTATCTTAACTAAGCTGTCAACATCTTCGACAATCTTCACAGGTTTCGGTTTCTTATCTTTTGGTTTGACAATGGCAAAATATACTCGTTCAGGTGCTGAGACAAATTTAGGTCCAACTGCCTTTTGTTTTATTCTCATGAGATGTATTTTGGACGCAGTCTTCACTTTGGCAGAGGACTGTAGAGCTTTTCTAATGTTTTCAGTAATCTGCAAATTAGATTCATTAAAAAAAAACATCCCTAATAGTTAGCCAATGTAACTTGAAACCTTCATAAGTCTTTTGTATAATAAGATTAAATTACCTTTTCTTGTAAATGTATGTTAGCTTCCCGGAATTGTCTCCTGGGAGCTTCAAACTGTTCTATTTTAGCTGCCATTGTCTCATCATCAATTTCAGGGCATGTACTGAAACATTGTAATGGGAGCTTAGTTAGTTTATTAGTAGTCTGAGAAATATAAAGAATTTATAAATTCTCTAAGAAACTTTTATTAGTCCTCTAATGGTGGGATCAGCAGAAGCTTTGGATGGCGCAATGAAATCCTGGTAAGATTTTATTTGATAATAACATACAACAAAACACTTACAACTAAATTCTATGATACTGACTCAATAGTCAGTATCATAGAAAATATTTAGATCCAATGATCTAAATTGTTATAAGAATAATTTCTATATGAGTACAAAAACGGTTGTTTTAATGATTTGAAATATATCACATCACAACACCGACAACATATAATGTCCCCGCTACTAGGGTTCAAGCCTTCCCTATGGATAAAATTGAATCAAATAGAGAGAATGACCTATGACCAGTTGATAACACCCACCAATCTGCACTCTGGCCCAGTGCAGATTGGTGGGTGTTATCAACTGCAGATGCAGCTGGGACCAACGGCTTAATGTGCCTTCCAAGAATAGAGCAGCTCAGGATAGTCAATTTTTAGTCACCCATCCTATGACCGACCATTACGAAAGTTGCTTAACAACCTTATCGCAGACCGAGCGCGCTAGCCATTGGGTCATTGAAATATGTACTTGTTCCCTTATAAAAATGCTTACGGATGAAACCGATGATCTATACAATAATGTTTATTGCACTTTCTACAAAGCATTTCGTGCAAATTTCCTTTTCTACACCCTTTCTGTGAACATCTATAAATTTGATCATCACTTTGGAGGTTAACTTCTCGTGGCTGCGGTGCTAATTTGCATTCGCTTGACTGGCAGTGGCTGAGGAAGTGGACACGGCATAGTACTTTTCCGCATTTACACTGAAGTGGCAAAAAGTCCGTCTGGTTACAGTCTTCGTGTTGACAATGTTCGCCAAGTGTAGGGAATTCCATATTATATTTTTACTTCTGTAGACAAACACGACACGACTAAAGAATCCGAACTCGAACTTCGTTTTATTATAATGATCAAATTAAGATATTAGAGCTCCAATTGATTTTTACAGAAACATATCTTTTGCCAAGTTTTAATATTGCAAATTTTTAAAAGTCATGGAAAAAGTAAACAAACTAGGGAGTCCGATCTCGATTTGATTTTATAGAAAAATATTCTTTTTGATTAATTTTTGTAAATGAGAAGATTATATCGATTTTTTAAAGATCGATTTAATAATAATATATTAGTAATAGTAAACTTTATTTGTACACCCAACAACTTATTCTAATTTATAACTGTTTAACATTAAAATAAACTAAAACAAATAAATCGAAAAGCAACAGAAATAAAATGAAAAACAAGAAATATGTCGGGTTGTGTGCTGCACCAATGCAAAAGGGTCAAGGATCAGGATACGATTTGCCTACAACGAGGCAAATCCCTGATATTCTGCCATAACCCTGAGGAGCAAGAGACGCAAAAGCGCCGTATATGAAAAATAATTTCGCATTGAGAAAAAAAAGAATATATATATATATTGGACCGTAATTACAAAAATGCATATAAAGATACACCTCTCTTATATTTTGTAACACGAAATAAACAAAATGGCACGATATTTGAAAATGAAATGTAAATATATATTATGTAAATATATAAAATCACTTTTATAAATCCATAAACGTAATAGAAAATACGCATCACAACTCACAACCTAAATGGCAAAATCCGTCACTGAGTACCCCCTAGGTATACACACACCCTGCTGTTATAAAAGGAATTGTTTAAAATATTTTTTCAGTCACTTTTGAATTAGATATACCCAGAAGTGGTGGTAAGTTGTTCAAATACGTCATTGACTTATCCCGTACCGATCTTAAAAGCTCTGATTCGAATCGATTTACAAAATCGATTCGAATAATAGTACTCCTAACGGAGAAGAATGCCAACTTCATAGTCATAAAATGGGGACCGTTTTCAACGCCATCTATTTTCAGACAATCAATAACTTTCTATGGCGGGCTTATTCAAACGTAGGTTTGTTTATTATTAAAATATTTTAAAGGCCAATTGATCCAAGCAACATTTTTTTGGCGATATTGAATTATATATTTGAAATCTGTAAAATTTACTTATTGCAAATATATATGTAACTCAATATCGCCAAAAAAATGTTGCTTGGATCAATTAGCCTTTCAACCACCGAAGTGAATTTTAAGTCACTTGAAGCAGAAGTCGTACCACAAAATATAGAATCGATTAGATGAACTTTGTGACTCTGCTTCGAGTGCCTTTTCTGTTATGCAAAAAAGGATTTTTTAAATAAAAGTAAGTTATATTTACACAACTGTTTAATTGTTAAAATAAAATTCAGATGTTTATACAAAGGTATTGCTCCTTTATGATTAATATAATCATAAAAATATGCATTTATACAATAGTTGAAATAATAAACACAATTGTTTTTAAAGTTTTCACAAGGGTAATATTATTATATATCACATAATCCCTAGCAATATGCAACAAAACAAAGATCAGATAACGAATATATATCTTATATAAGAAGTTGCTGACTTAATTGTATTTCCTGTATTATTATTAATGTACAACCGATAAAATGTTGTTACAGCTAAACCACCATTGAACTACAAACGGATTAATTTTTACTTGTTTGAATTTTGGTACCTACATATTAAATATAAAAAGGAATTGCATTTTTACTGCAAATACAAAATATTTTTTCATAAAACTAAATACAAATTGTTTCATTTTCTTTTATACTAAAAATCAAATTAGTACACTGAATAGTATTTGAATACTTTGATAATGACAAAGAAAAAATGAAATAAATTTAGTTACATTACACATGTTAAAGCATGAATGGGCCGGCTCGACCGGAGTGATACCACGGCCTCACAGAAAACCGACGTGAAGCAACGCTTGCGTTGTGTTTCGTCGTGTGAGTGAGGGTACCGGAGGCCCAACCCCTCCCTCCCTTCCCTCTACCCCTCAAAGGCCGGCAGCACGCTTGTAGCCCCTCGGGTGTTGCAGGTGTCCATGGGCGACAGTAATCACTTACCATCAGGTGATCCGTCTTCTCGTCTGCCCCCTATCCCATAAAAAAAAAACTTGGAAACCAATGCCAAACATAAAAAAAAATAAGATTTCTTAAAATTCCTGAGAATTGTGAAGTATTGACTTAAAACTTTTGTTGGTTTTAAATGGTAACTTTAAGCAATTTTTAACAAAAACCAGGTGGTTTAGAAGTATAAACTATAAAAAGAAACAAGTTTACAATATTATAGGAAACTGAAAGTGCATGCAGCTTATTTATGTTGAATAATATCCAATTTTCTTTTTAATGCAGCTGCAGATGCTTCTTCGGTGAATTTTCTATTTTGCAATATACAATATCGCTTTATACACATGAAAAAAGTGCTTGTAGTAATTTTTATTATATTTTCATGTTTGTGGATTTGACAGTTATTTAAAAATTCAAAATTTATATTATGTTGTAGGTGTTGTAAAATTGTTGATTTCAGATTTTTTATATGGCCCTTTTCTTTTAATATTTCGTTAGTGATAGAAGCACATTGTTCCACACAAACAGCCATATTTTTTGTAACATTATTCAATTTTTTTTTTCTGTCCTCGTATTCCTTACACTCCACAAATAAATGGTGACTTTCTATACTTTTTGCCTGAAATATAATTATACAATCATTGCATGTACTTTTAAATCTTTTTAAAAGAAAACCACATAAATATGTACATGCATCAATTTCAGAGTCACAATCTGTGTATTCTACATCAGTAATATTTATTGTTTCTTGCCTTTCTTCGATGGCAGTGGGATGTACAACAGACAACATTTTTTCGAAGTTGTTTATGATATTATTTTGATCTGTCTCACAATTGCCCTTTATCCCAATGTGAGGTAAATTAGATAAAACTGCTGTTTTAAGGGCTGCTGTGAATTGGCCACATGTTGGGTTCATATTTGAACCGCAATTGCTTCGTATACAACCAAAAAGATTTTCAATGGGATCTTGCTGTAGTCTCCTGGTTGCTAAGCTTTTTATGCCATGTGTCGCTACTAATTTGTACCACACACGCCCAACTGCATTTAATGTCCACAACCAACATTCATGTGATGGTGGTGTCCGAGGGCTTCCAATATATTTTAATGATGAAATATATTTTTTCATTTCTTCAAAATATTTTAAATGAGGTGTATTTTTCCTCAAATTTGTAGCATGAGGTTTACCTCTTCTTAAGTCTGGACAATCACTGTTCAGACAGTCAAACAATTTATCAATTTTCGTGAACATCTCAGCTGTAACAGCAGCCTCAGCAGAGAGTTCTCCTGGAAATAAATGAATTTCAATATTATTAAGGAGAATATATTTTCAAACCATTAAACTATACTGCTGCTACTGCTATTATATTTTCAAACACTGTTTGCTTACTTTAATAATACCTATCTTATGTAATAAAAATGACTTGCTTAATTGTATGTATGAACAACTGTATCAAATAAAATAATACTTTTTGTTTATTTCTTTATATCAGGACAAGGTTTTTTATAAATGAGAACTTTATAAAATTGCAAAGCTTATGACAAATATTTTCTATTCCCTGTGCACTATGTTAATATGGTAAAACATTCCAATAATTTTAAAGTTGCTAGCTGTTATTTATAATATTGTTTTCTTTTTGCACATTTACTTACCCCTTGAAATTTTTGCATACATTCCTGCTGCTACAGAATGACTGAACACCTGCGCCGCCAATTTCACCTTCATTTTCTGCTTGCTATTGGGATTTAGGTGATCTTTACTCAAACATGGAGCAAACACAAAAATATGGTTAGAATTGTCAACTTCATAGAATTGCTTTAAATGTGACCACTTAGCAATACCTGAAAAAATATACAACACTTTACTTACACAAGAAAATTTTTTATTAAGTAAAATAGTAACATATTGCAAAAATATATAATTTTTGAATTTACATATATGTAATAAAACATATGATTAGTTTATTAAAAGTATTCAGTGTTAATTGTTAATTTAGAACACGTTTTTTCTTTTAAAAATAAGTTATAAAAACTATTTCTAGGTTTGGCTATCAGTAGAGTTGATATTGTTATCAATAAGGAATAGATAATTTTTCAAATAATAATTACATACCTCTTCCTAACTTATTATCTGATGAAATATTCATATTGCATTCAATGTCATGCTTCAATAGTGTGTTTCGGAAACATTTCAATAAATGTGGAGGATCATAGAGAGTTACAATCTCCTTATTATTAAAATATATGCTTGGTTGCTCCTGTGATGCACCCAAAATAGTTAGTGCCCTTCTATTGACTCCATCACAGTCACAGACCATGGCTACTATGTTCAGTTTTGCTTCAAAACATTGCTGTAGTACCTTTAATAGAAATAAAAATATATATTAGTTAACATTTCCAAAAAAAGATATTTAACAAAAGTATGATTTTTAAGTATAATGAAGTAACTGTTCATGTATTTACCTCCTTTATGAGTACAGATAATCTATCTGCAGTCGAAAACCCACTGGAAAAATAATGGGCAACTGGCTGCTTCACCCTCTTTCTTATACCTACTATCATAAACACTAAAGCATATCCAGCAATAAGGGGTGACCTCCCTTGTCCAGCATGGTCCTGGAAACCTTCTATAAAGTCTTCTTTAACATTATATGATAAATTTTTCTTCAATGATATCTCATCGAACATCAATGTGTAGGCATTATCGGTGGGATCTTGAGTTTTAATAAAGTCCTCCAAGGTTTTAAAAATACAAAGATTGACTCCTACATTGAAAGGTATTTTATTTAATAATATTCTCAATGTACCAGGTGATGGCAAACAAAATAGTCTGCGCAGTAACCTGTAGCATGTTGGAGACTTTTTATATATTCTCAATGCTGTAATTTTTTCTTTGTTAGACCATCTCCGACCAGTAGCCTTTTTTTTAAAGTTTTTTATTTGCCCCTGTAGTAGTAAAGCAAATGCTGGAGAAATTTTATTTGACAACTTAGTTATTGTTTTATTATCTTCTAACAGTTTCAAAGTATTTTTTGCTTTTAAAGTTTTTACTCGAGATCTCAATTTGCAAACCTTTTTTAAATATTTGCAACACTTGGTGTACAGTTCAGACTCTCTTTGTGTTTTAGGTTTATACATAACAGGACTTGTCTTCTGATTTTGAATGTTATCATATCCAGATTTAATATTTTCTAAATTTCCCAAAGGTATTCTGTGCGAAGGGCCTGGCTGTGGCTCTTCAAAATGTTGTAAATCTTCTTGAGCCTGGGAAACCAAATAAGTGTTAATAATAACTAAACTTACTATATTATATACATAAATATATAACAAAAATAAGAAGCCTCTATTCAGAAAACTATTTGCTGCATTTTAGTTGTTAACTTACATCAGATGGAAAGGCAGTTCTTATTAACTTCTTTTTAGAACTATCAGTGAAATCACATTCCTTAAAATGTTTTTGGCAAAGCATTCTGTGTTCATTATGTAGTTTTGTTTGAAATGAAACAGAGTTATAGTCACCATCAGGGAACATATAGTTGGCCCATAATAAACAACTGAAAAGAAAAGTAAACAATATATTAATGAAAAATGCTTAAACCAGCCCATGCAAAATCGATCAAATATTTAAGCAAACAATATGTTAACATATCAATATCTATTTGCTGTTGCGTTTTGGATAGGTTGCAATATAAACGACATGGTAAATCTCTTCTACTTTTAAAAGGATCTTTAAAATAACGGTTACTAGTTATAATTATTTATGGAAATTTAGGTACTGAAATGAACTTTACATACCGACTAAGGTTCCATATAGAAGGTTTAGGAATTCTAAACAATTTGACATTGTCCGTAGCTGGAGAACAACCACATTTGAAACATTTTCTCTTATTTTCTTTATCGGCCATCGTGCTGCTGGAAATAATTCTTCTTTATGAAGATGTTTTTTCACAAAACACGATTACAGTCACTGTCTGATTAAAGGCACAACTCACTGCAATTTCCTAGCACATAAAACGGAGGAACAAAAGCTCAACTCGACGTTATAGTATAGAAAACGCAAATTTGTTTCAAACACAACCGATCACGCATGAAAACGAAAACCGATCGCCATTTTCGGTGCTGCCAGGCTAATGGAAGTATTATTAATATAAAGTTCTTCGAGTTTTTTTATTCAAGATAAAATATGCCATATATATCAATTATTTGATTATTCAAAGGCAAAGGCAAATAAATTTTAATAAAAAAAATAACATAAAAAGTATAACATCAATACAAAATGGTGAAATAATGATTATTTAAGTGCAATTCCTAATTACAATAATAACCAAATTAGAACAATTTATGTGTGCTGGCAACATTGATACACTTTCAAAAATTACGGATGTTGCCATTATGAAATTCTGTTGTTGCTAGAAGTAATAATATTCAGCCCCCGTAGGTATCTCACATATGTATTTTTAGGATCGGAGACTTAATTGTCATTTATCGTGTTGCCAAGTTTTTGTAATGAAGAAGAATTAAAAAAACAACGAAAGCACTAAACAAGCGCACCACTAGATGAATCTAGCAAAAGTTGATATTTGCAGGAAACGAATGGACCAAAGACAGTCATTTCCGTTCCTTTTAACTAACATATTAAAAAAATGAAATTTGAAAAGTTCAAAACTTGGATATCAATACAAATACGAAAAAGTACAAATAGAATATGAGTTGTTTATTGAGTTTTGAAAATTAATTTACTTTTAAACATGAAAGAAAATTGGAAGGGTTGTCATGGAGACATCAAGAAAGTACCGTAGCGACATCTAGTTTGATTTCGGGAACAAATTTTTTTTTAATACTTCCTCATTAACATTTATTGTGTTGCCAATATTTTGCAATTCTCAAATAGCGATAAGCCTCAACCGGACTTTGTACGAAAAAGTATAGTAGATTACCGTTTTTTTACAAGGCACTGATCCAAAATTTTAGATGTCTCTCCTAATACGACTCATTTTAGTTAAGCTTTAACTACAGAATTCTTAGTATATGGTGGGATAGAAGTGGTGCGTCAATTGAATAGTACATAATATTGGAATTATTTTTAGGTGAATAATATAAACACAGAAATACAAATGTTCTTAAAGCAGTTTTATTGCAAAAACAAATAAATAAGACTTGTAAGAGGTAATTATGCATTGCCAACGGTCACATACAATCAAGCCTTTTGTAGTTAAGGATCACCTTTTCTTTAAAAAATCGACGGAAAGAATGAGACAATTATAAAAAATAATAGTAACACACGGTAAATGCAGCTATAATACAAACTATAAGCAATAAATAGACTAATATTCCTGTGTGTACAAATAATGATATAAAAGTCGTCAGATTAAAAAAAAATATTTTAAAATACATCAATACTTTAAAGGGATTGATTTACGAATTCAATTATTCTATCTAATCTAATAAGACAAAATATACATCAGTATGTTCCATACATTCCGAGTTATCTGAGTTTTGATTTAAGGTTCACATTAGTTTGAGTGTAACCATCGCCGCTTGCAACCGTTCAATCTCCCCTTGCGCCTGCGCAAGTTTCTCGGTGTTAGCTTTCTGTACTTCTGCCGGTACTTTAGTGACGTAGTCTTCGGCCGCCATTGCTTGTTGCAGTTTAGTTATGGTCTGCGTCAAGGCTTCTTTCTTTTTGTCCAGTTTCGTTATCTCCTTCTGAGGATCTATTAGACCCTGAAATAATAAACACCATGATTAAATTATACACTTGTACCATTCAAAAGCAAAAAAGCAAAATTGGAGGTTATAACTGTGTAGTAATTTTTTAATATGAAGTATTTTATTTAAATTTTGTAGAAAAGGGTACAACACAATACTGCCACAGCTTAAGAGGTTCTATCAAATTAAACTGACTGTATCGTTGGCTTGGTTTGTGACATTTATGCTTTATTCTCACCTTCAACTCCAGATGCACTTCAATCTTATCCGAGACGGTCAGGATTGAGCAGCCAACGGGCGGTTGGCCTTCAGCCAAATCAGAGTTGGCTAGCGACTGCAAGCTTTTGAATAAATGTCTCAGTTCGGCTACATCAAGCTCCGATGATATGACGAGGTAAGCCGTGGTCTTCTGCTTGTTGGTCAAGTTGTACTCAGTTCTAGTGGAACGGATCGCGTGAACCATCTTTAGAACTGTATCCACATTAGTTTCGAGGACTTCCGATCTCCAAGGTGCTTCCGATTCCTAGACGGTAAAGGATTAATATAATTTACTTATTTGATACATGACCGATTAATTGACTACTGGACCAATTCTAAAAAATCTTTTACCAGGTATGTCTTGTATTAAACAAAGTTTCTTTTCGCTGTCTATATGAGCTGAGATCTTTAACTCTACATAACGGTTTTTAATATAGTTTTTATTAATATAGAGGGTTTACATACATGACAGTTTTACATATGACCACATTGGTGAAGCCACTGGCAATAATCTAGTAGGCTAAAATATACTATAAATCACGGGAAAACAGGTAGCTAGTACAGTTAATGATGGCACTTGTTACCGTCGGATAAGAAGCCACGCATATAGAAGGGCAAGTGGTATTCTTCCGCGGCAATCTCTGGAACAGCTCCTCGGTGAGGAACGGCATGAACGGGCTGAGCAGCTTCAGGCCAAACTCCAGCACCGTGTACAGGGTGCGACGCGCCGCCGCCTTCTCAACCTCACTGCCTTGAGCGAATACAGGCTTCAAGTACTCCTGAACATAATACAAAGCAAATAAGAGATGAATCATTTTCATTTTCTATTATTTAATTTTCTAATACACTCTACATATTACAATATTAAATTAAATTCTACCTCATCATCATCATCATCAGCCCTTTTACGTCCCCACTGCAGGGGCTCAGGCCTTCCTTATGGATGGTTAAGGAGGATGGGCCATGACCCTTCACGCTGGCCCAATGCGGATTGGAGAGTATTAACGGCTGCAAATGCAGCCGGTACCAACCGCTTAACGTGCCTTCCGAAGCACGAACTTTCTTTGTACTTCGGGAAAAGTACTTTAAAACTTTCATAATGGTTATTTATGAAACCACTATAACATATTTATTTCGCTCCTAAATTTATTAATAAAGAAGAAACATATTTTATTTATTAATGTAAATTGTCAAAATCATTGATTTAACGTGACATCACATTTCAATAAACATGCAAGCAACCAGTACGTAACACTCACAAATTGTTTATTGAAATGTGACGTCACATAAAGCTACATCACGGCCGCGTTTTTGTTCTTGCAACAGAAAGATTTATAAATCCTAACTCACATACATAATAAGTAACAGTTACCATTTCCAACATATTTCATATTTTTTTGTTACAATTGTCAAGTATCCCATATCGATTCCATATTGAATGTACTAACCAGGTATACATCGCAGAGGTCGTATAGCCACAGGTTATAGCAATGTGTGGTCGCACAAGGGAAGTCGTACGTCTGGAATCCAGTGTTGACTTTGTGTACGGCTAACGCTAGACGAGACGACATCCACCGATCCATCGGGGACAAGTCACTCGGCAAACTCGGCGGGAGGACCTAAAGATATACGTCAAATATATTCAACGATTACATACATTGTAATACATATCAATACATTTTTTTATGGTTTCTAGGTTAACGCTTGACTACGATCCCACATGATGGTAAGTGGTGATGAAGCCTTGGGTGGTATAGCGCATTAATCTAGTAACAGCCTATTTACTCTTGATTTGAAGAAGACATTACAATTTCATACAATTATAATTTCAGACACATAACAATTGGAAAAATATTCATAATATTCAATTTTAGGCAGTCCTCGACTTACATCGTTTCGATTTACGTCAAACAATGTTTTGACACTGTTCCTCAAGCATACGTCAATTGTTTCGATTTCCGGCATAAGAGAATTCACTTGTCCCGAGGTCAATGACCGTGGTTTTAACGTTAATAACAAAGTTTGTGCAACCGATCAGTATTACCAAGATTTCTAGGATAGCAAGAAGAAAAAAGCGAAGAAATCAAGAATTGATACTTTCTTTAAGCTAAAAGTTTAATTTATTATTTCTCATTGCATATTTTAATTGTTAAAATTTTATTTTTATTATTGAAATACCAAAAATTACCAGCTATTTCATAAGTACATTTATAATTATTTTAAGTTTAATTAATCACAATTAATTAATAAAGTTTGTATATCTTTTGTTATAAATGTAGTTTTTTGTTCATTTTGAGTTCTTGTGCAATCTAACTCTTGAGTTCTACATGTAAACATATGAAAAAATATGTCTCGACTTACGTCGTTTCACTTTACGTCGCGTATTTCGAGAACCTAACATGCCGTAAGTACGAGGACTGCCTGTATTTCCTTTATTGTACTTACAGATTCTAAACACTTAACTTAATTAAATTATATTTATATTATTAATAACGCAAAAAAATGTCACGAATTTATTCTTAGATTTGTAACCTTGATTTCTTTCTCAAACTTTACTAATGATTCTCCAGAGACATCATTGTGACACGAACTAAGCTCGTTTATTATAAAACCTACACGGCATACGGATTTTTAATTAAACTAACATATGACAGTTTTGACATAACGCTTTGAAGAGAGGTATAGTAGCTCTATGGAAGTAATTCGTATGACGTCATCGATACGCATCATATTTTTACGCAAATAATGCGTACGATCGGTGCGGCATTTACGGATATTGGACGGAGTGCTAGTGAGTATACAAATTCATACGAAGCTATAGATGATGCGTGCGTACGAAGTGGACGTTCACCTCTACACAAATGAACAATATAATATTTTTTTATTTTCCCCACAATATAAAAGATAGAAAAAAGGTGCAGTCGCATAGGGCATTATTGCACGTACCTCATAAACGGTGTCCTTAGGGAAGTACATGAGGGCGAATTTGGTCGCGTTCCAGAGTTTGTTGCAGAAGAACCTGTAGCCCTGCACGCGCAAGATGTCCAGGTTCAAATCCCGACCTTGCGTCATGGCGCATAAGGCAAACCTGACACAACAGAGGTTAGAACTATAGTGTTGCCGTACAGTCCACTGTTGATAGTACAGACTATAGATAGCCGAGGCAAAAGCAACAGTATAAAAATAAGATTGGAACCCATGACCTTTCGCGTTCCGAGGAACTGCTCTAATCATTGCTAGCGAGACTCGGGAATTTCTCAAACACTTATTACCAGAGGTCGGAATTAGGTAGAGTTATTTATGTACTTGCATCGAAATGTTGATATTAATGTGGACCTTCCCGGGATTTCTAATGGACAATCTTGGACATCTTTGGACATCCGATGTCATTGATGTAAGTTTGGCAACGTCGTGTGTGCAGTAGTTTAAATTGTGTAAAAGATAATAACTTTTTATTTAAAAAATCACGGGAATTTTTCTGCTCTTTAAAATTAATATCGGGATTTGAGGCATATCCACTTTATTCTTTCGCTGTATGAAATCAGTGTAAGTACATGAATAACTCTACCTAATTCCGACCACTACTTATTACTTTTGCTACTATAGTCCGGTCACTCAATAGAGATAATTTAAAAATAATTTCAATTATCTCTATTGCATGCATTACACATCTCCTTCACTCGTGCGCAAACATATTGCTATTTCACTCGCACAGATGCATCTAGCCAATTTTGTCATAGTAAAGTGAACCCTAAATGTTTATGATATCAGTAGACAAACCTTTTTGGCATGTTTATTTTCTAAATTCTCAGTTTTTAAATAAATGTCATTCATACTATTAGACTTACAAAACAAATGTAAAACTTCAGTGTGAGAATAACAATATACGGCTGTGACGGTGTTTTCGTGGTTTCCTTTAAAATTACCTGGTAGCCAGATCTCTATCTTTTTCATTGGTGTCAGAAGTGGGATAAAATAATAACGATCATGCCCATGGTTACCAGGTCTCGTGTTTGCCAAAACCAAGAAACCCTTAAGTCTACTTCCTATAGTACAGTGCGTGAAGTGTCTAACGAAGCCGCCTCTAATCGTGGTAGCGCCTCTATTTCCGGCGCCCTAGCGCCAGCGTTACCCAGCGTGCTCCACACCGCGCCACAAGATGACTTACTTACCACTGCATCACAAAGCGCCCCAGCGCCGCCGCCAACCAATTCTCCTCGATCGTGTACGAAATCTACAGCAAAAACTATAAAAGCACAGCAGCTGGCTGCCAAATTGAAACATGCTCGACGACAAGCCGCAATAGAAAAGGAATTGGCAGACTTGGAATTGGAAGCCGAGCTTGCTGCCATTACCTCTTCTACTTCGAGCCATTCACTTTCGGATTATGTGGAACAATGGTTAGTCGCATCGCATGACAATCCCGTAGATAGAGCTTATAATAACCGTTCTATTATTTTCGATAGAGAGAAATGTGTCGATTCAATATGTAGCGCTCCACTAGAACAACCCCCAGCGTCACGTTTAGCAGAGGATAGAGATGCCCTAGTATCTGCAGCACGAGGCTGTACTATACCACGCCTGTCCCCGCTTACCTACAACGATGGCCCTCGGGTACGAGCCGCCGACACATTCACAACTACACATGCTCAAAATATAGGTACACACAACAGTAGTAATGATTGTAATTTGTACAAAAATAAAATTAACAATAAAACTGTAGGTACACATGACAACATTACTTTACTGGCGAACGCTATACTGGATCTAGGAAGGAAGCCGAAGGTCAGTGATCTCCCTAGGTTTGATGGTCGTGCTTCTGACTGGCTCTCGTTCAAAAGGACGTTTGAGCAGTCCGAAGCAAACTTCACGCCGATGGACAACATCGCCAGAATCTCCACTGCGCTTCATGGGTCTGCTAGAGAGGCAGTATCCATGCTTCTCGTCTCTGCTAATGACCCGCGGCAGATAATCAAAGCCCTGGAGAACAGGTTTGCTCAACCGGAGTTTATTATACTTCAGCAACTCTCGCAGGTGCGAAACCTTCCTAGACTTTGCACCTTCGAATCTTCGCGCGACCTCAACATCTTCGCATGCCGCATTAGAAACTGTGTTGAAGTAATTAGACTCCTCAATCAACCTGAGTACCTTGCAGCGCCTGAATTTGTCAACATTATCGTTGGTAAGTTAACTCCGTTGTTGCGTTCGAGATGGGTCGACTTTGCCGCGAATAAATGCACTTCAGGCAAATTCAAATTAGAAATTTTAGCAGACTTTTTGGAAAATGAAGCATATTTACATGTTAAATTTGGATTTATTTCTACAGAGTCGACTCAAATTGTCAATCGGTCTGTCATCAAACCATCCGTCAAAGACAAAGTCTATGCAATCCCATCCGTCAAAACGTCAAGTAAACCTAAGATCACCTGTACTCTATGTCAATATTGTCAAGAAAAACATGACATTATGGATTGCAAAGAGTTTGTTTTACTTGACATTGACAATCGTTGGCAGTGGACCATAAACAATAAGGTATGTCGTAGATGTCTGAAAAAAGGATCTCACCAGTATCGATCGTGTAAAAAGAGGTGCGAGGTAAAAGATTGCAAGTATAATCACAAACATCATACATTATTGCATCGAGATGCTATCTCGTCGACAGCTGCTCATACTAATATACAGCTAACCCCTTCAACGTCTACTGATATCAAGGTACAGACAATCGACAATATTCCTCGCGATACTCTTGATCAAACTTGCAATTCTAATGTTTCTAAAGACGAGAATATAATTGCCACTGTAGGACATAGCCTTTGCCCTTCTAGTTTATCAACTTGTAAGCCTCTGCTTAAAGTGATAGCGGTTACTATCACAGGACCGAAGGGTAGTATAGACGCATACGCTCTTCTCGATGATGGCAGTTCTGTGACTCTTTTAGATCAGTAAATCGCGGACTCTGTGGGCGCTAAGGGCCCTACTAGCAAGCTAAGCATAGATTGCATTGGAGGGTTGAACAAACAAACCGATGTTAGTTACGTCTCAATAAAGGTTAAAGGTCGTCATAGCTTAGAAACTCATGAAATTAGGGCGAGGTCTATTTTTAATTTAGGCATAAGCAGACAGTCGGCTAATATTGATAATATCGTGCAATATGAATATTTGTCAGATTTGGCAAACGTATTATGCTATACGGAAGCCAAACCATTGCTTTTAATAGGAGCTGATAATTGGCATCTTCTTCTTACGAAAGCCGTACGTCAAGGAACTCGTAGCCAACCAGTGGCTGCACTTACAGCCTTGGGTTGGGTACTTTTCGGATACGTGCCATGTTCTAATATGTTGAACCATTCGTTCGTTCATCACATAGATGACTCTCAAAATAATGATGATTGTTCTTTAGATGCGCTTTTAAAACAATATTTTAGGCTTGATTCTATTGGAATAGAAAGCGTGTATCACCGCAGTGCTAGCGAAGACCGCGCGTTTAAGATTTTAGAAAATACTACGACACGCCTAGACTCTGGTAGATATCAGACGGGCCTTTTATGGCGAGATAATATTCCTTTCGTTCCCAAGAGTCGCGATCTAGCATTATCACGTTTTTTTAACCTTGAAAATAAAATGACAAAAGATAAGTCTTATGCCGAAGCATATAAACTAAATATTCAGGGTATGCTTGACAAGGGTTACGCAGAGCCATGTTCAGATCAAACTTGTGGTAGAATTTTGTGGTACCTTCCACATTTTGGTGTCGTACACCCACAAAAGAAGAAGTTGCGCGTCGTACACGATGCAGCAGCGAAGTGTGCCGGGCTGAGCCTGAACTCTTTTCTGCTGCCCGGTCCCGATCTTCTTCAACCGCTGTTGTCTATTGTTATGCGTTTTAGAGAGCATCCGGTGGCTCTTACGGGTGATATCAGGGAAATGTTCCCGCAGATAAAAATTAGACCTGAAGATAGAGACGCGCAACGGTTCTTGTGGAGGGACGATCCAAAGTTTCCAGTTCAAGAATACCGTATGTCTTCGATGATGTTCGGTACCGCGTCGAGCCCATGCACTGCTTTGTGGGTTAAAAATAATAATGCAATGCAATTTCAGTCGAAATACCCCGACGCGGTAAAGTCTATCATTGAAGACCATTACATGGACGATTTTCTGGGCAGTTATAAGACCGTTGACGAAGCTGCTCGCAGAGCATTCGAAATTGTAACCATACACAAGGCAGCTTGCTTTGAAATGAGATCTTGGGTGTCAAATCGCAAAGAAGCCCTTGCTCTCATTCCTTCTGAATTGCATGCAGTCAACGTTACAGAAGTAGGTCTAGGTTCCGCGACACAGTCACAGGTTAGGGTTTTAGGTCTCACGTGGAACGTTAGCCAGGACACGCTATATTTTATGAAGTCGTCGCCCGAATTACCGAAGATCTTTTCTAAACGTACTGTACTCTCATTATTGATGTCCTTTTATGACCCTCTAGGTCTCATTACCCCAGTAATAATGAAAGGTCGCGTGTTATTCCAAAAAACGTGGAAATTAGGTTCCGATTGGGATCAAATATTACCAAACGCCTTGGTTGACAGTTGGAAGGAATGGTATTGTGAAATTCAAAATTTGGCTAATAAGGCGATTCCAAGGTGCTATTTAGGTTTTTCCGAATTATCTGTCAAAGATGTTCAATTGCATATTTTTGCCGACGCTAGTGAGCGCGCTTATGCGTGCGTAGCTTACTGGCGCTTAACTTTTGAAGATGACAGTGTAAGTTTAGCTTTAATCGGTGGCAAGGGTCGACTAGCTCCATTAAAGCCAGTGTCTATCCCCCGATTAGAGTTACAAGCAGCACTAATTGCTGCCCGTTTTGGTAAATATATACTTGACGCACATAGGAGAAAGCCTAGCGTTACATACTACTGGACGGATTCCACCACCGTCTTAAAATGGCTGCGCAGCGACGCCTGTATATTTAAAGCCTTCGTTTCTTTTCGCGTTGGAGAAATTGTCGAGACCACAAACATCAGTCACTGGAAGTATACTCCGACGGCTCTAAATGTGGCAGACGACGCTACGCGGTATAATCGGGCGTTTACTTTCTCGTCACGGTGGTTTACCGGGCCATCATTTCTATTGTCTTCTCAGGAAAACTGGCCATGTGAACCTATGTGCAGTGTCCCACCGATACTTGAAGAATTGAAACGTACTTCAGAATCGGTGGGACTCCTAATTTCAGGAGTACCGCGTGAGCTACCTTCATCGGTGGTTGCGGGCCACCAACGGTTCAGTCGGTGGATTCGTTTACTCCGAGCTTCAGCGCGGGTATTTCAATGTTGTAGAGTTTTTAAATCTTTTATTAATTCTACTCTTAAATTTTCTACAAATGCCCCTCGCGATCGGTTTAATTTTCCGTTGCTTTCGATTGCAGACCTCAACGTTGCAGAGGTCCATTTATTCCGCGTCGTTCAGGCAGATTCTTTTTCTGATGAATTAATGCTCGTTCAAGCAGCACGCCCTGTTTCAAACGAAAGTAGGCTAAAGAATATCGCGCTACTTATTGGAGAAGATCGACTCCTTCGGCTATCTGGGCGCACGGCTGTTTCTACGGAAATAGAATGTAGTCCAGTTGTGCTCGACGGCAAACATCCAATAGTGAGACTGTTGATTGGCTTTTATCATGAGAGATATGCACACGGCAACAACGAACTGGTGGTTAATGAGCTGCGTCAAAAGTACTTTATCCTCCATTTGAGACCATCAGTTCGTGCAGTATCACAAAAATGCCTAGTTTGTCGGATTCGAAAGGCGAAACCTATAACTCCTCCCTTAGGTGATCTTCCAGACGTGAGATTGGCACATAACCAGCGACCGTTCACATTTGTGGGCCTGGACTACTTCGGACCTTTGAACGTTTCTATAGGTCGAAGAACGGCGAAGAGGTGGATCGCTCTTTTTACTTGTTTGACCGTTCGCGCTGTACATCTTGAGGTCGTGGAGAACCTTTCGGCAGACTCTGCAATCATGACTCTCCGGCGCTTCATAGCGAGAAGAGGTTGTCCAGCTCGCATATATTCGGACAACGGGACTTCGTTCGTCGGTGCAGCGAGATTGTTACCTGACCTCTACGACTTCTGCAGCAACCATAAAATAGATTGGCGGTTTATTCCCCCATCAGCGCCGTTTATGGGTGGATGCTGGGAACGCTTAATACGATCTGTGAAAAACTCCATTATGGTCACCTTAAAAGAACGTTCGCCTCGGGAGGAGGTTCTACACACATTGATCCTAGAAGCGGAGTGTATTGTTAACTCAAGACCCCTTACACATGTGCCTGTTGATCAGGATTCGGACGTCGCTATAACACCTTTTACATTTTTGATCGGAAGTTCCAGTAGCGACTTACCTCTAAGACAATTTGAAGATTGTGATCTTTATAGGCGAGTGAACTGGAGGAAGGCTCAGCGTTTCGCCGATCAAATGTGGCAGCGCTTCATAAAAGAATATTTGCCTACCCTGGTACCACGAAGGTCTACATCCCAATCAGCAGTCAACCTCCAAGTCGGCGACCTCGTATTTATAGCAGACGGCACACTACCAAGATGCAGCTGGCCTAGAGGGAAAATAAAAGCCACGTATCCCGGCAAAGATGGAGTAGTTCGCGTGGCCGATGTTGCCACAAAAGGGGGTGTGCTGCGCCGCCCAACGCGGAAGTTAGCGTTGCTGGTCACCGGCCACATTAAATAGGTGCTTCTCACCGTCGGGGGCCATGTTGGTGACCCGCTACGCAAACCTTTTTGGCATGTTTATTTTCTAAATTCTCAGTTTTTAAATAAATGTCATTCATACTATTAGACTTACGAAACAAATGTAAAACTTCAGTGTGAGAATAACAATATACGGCTGTGACGGTGTTTTCGTGGTTTCCTTTAAAATTACCTGGTAGCCAGATCTCTATTAACTAAACAGTTTGATGATTTTTTAAGCATTCCTTATTTAAAATAAATATTGATATAGCGAGGAATTCAATATCTGATAGTTCGTTCGGTCTGCGATACGGTTGTTAAGCAACTACCGCAAGGGCTAGTCAAAGGATGACCAAAATAAAAATCTCCAACTGAAGGCACGTTAAGACGTTGGTCCCGGCTACACGTGCAAACGTTAACACCCATCAATCCAAGGCCAGAGTGATGGATCATGGCCTATTCGATTCAAACCCATCCACTGAGAAGGCCTGTACCCCGGCAATGACATTAATAATCTATAAAACAAAATAACGATTTTATTATATATTCCACATACCTCAGGGCGTCAGTACCGCACTCCGGTATACCATTAGGATAGTCCTGCTTCTGTCCCTGCTTCGCCTTCTCCACCTCTTTAGGGTCCAGGTTGGAGTCCGCGAGTTGAGCGTGCAATTGTTCTAAAGTGACCCCTCGGACCACGTCCACTGGGTCTATGACGTTGCCCAGAGATTTGGACATCTTCCGCCCGTGCGCGTCACGCACCATCGGGTGTAGATATACTTCTCTACAAAACACGTAATTCGTATTATAGATCAGCGTTATCCGTACCAAGTTAAAAGAACTAAGACTCATTTCTTTTGATAGATATGTTTTATATATTAATTGGGAATTTTAGATCACTCGAGAGACTCTCTGTTATGTTTTATTTATGTTTTAACTTAATATAATGCATAATATTTTATTACTGATTAATACTTCTCATATTGTAACCACGTTTTATGCAAATACATTGAATTGCATAATTATATTTTGCCCAAAAATTTTATTGAGATTAAATTAATAAATAAATATAAAACAACATCACACATTACTCCAGATGAGTAGTTAATGCTCCTGTATAAGAAACGAAGGTACCATAACAACTAGACCCAAGACAATATATAAAAGTCAATTTTCTATATCGATCCGACCGTTAATTGAACTGACTGACTAAATTGATTGTATTAAATATCAATTTAAGCTCACAGAGGGTAGATTGAGTCGAGATAATATCTTCTCGATGCTATGAAGCTCTAGTCAATCAATTTTTTTTTATATTTAGATATATTTTTACGATTTCTACTTTACCACTACATACTATAAAACAAAGTCGCTTTTTCTGTTCCTATATCCTTATGTATGCTTAAATATTTAAAACTACGCAACGGATTTTGATGCGGTTTTTTTTTCATAGATAGGGTGAAATTAGGAAGGTTTTTATGTGTAATAAATACAAAACCTATACCTGGCGGAAAGCTAGTAAAATTAATATAGAATCCTATTAACAGAAAATTGTTAACAATGTGAAGTTAAAATACATTTTTTTTTATGTGGACTAGCATAGAAAGAATCTATAACATCTTAGTCAACTTCACCAGAAACTTTCAGAATACACTTACTTGAAAGGTAATTTTCCTAAGAGACGCTGACCAAAGAAAACCATTCTGGCAACCCAGAAGAACAGGATATCGTGTCCAGTCTCAAGTAGTGTTCCCGGGTAGAAAGCCTGGAAGGGAAATTTTTTAACGTTTTTATAGGAAACTAAAACGCTTTTATTACGAATCATATACGTAAAACTCCATTCGGTAGTTTCTTTTCAGTTTGTTGTCATTTTTATGTCAAAAGGACTTAATAATCTAGTGATCAGCACAAAAATAAATAAAGCTTTCGGCAACTACCTTCAAGTCGTCTGTTTGATCAGGCCACCCGAATATGGAGAAGGGGAACAGGCCCGACGAGAACCAGGTATCGAGGACATCCTCGTCGCGAACCAGCTGTATCTCCTCCGCAGCCACTCCGTATTTGGTCGATGCCTTCGATAACGCTTCCTCTTCAGTGTGCCCTGACACCCATAACTCCTCGTCGGATTTCTATTAACATGAAGATCTTATCTCAAAGGAGAAGTATGTGTTTGATAGTTAAAAAAAACAATTTGCAATAGGGATGATCGGTCAAAGAAGAATGGCGAAATCAGACCCCATAATTTACAAAACCGTACATGGATGGCAATATGACAAATAAATAATATATGATTAATAGATATTATTTCTACAAAATGGTGAATTTTAAAGTCGGAGAACCAAACTAAAATAATAAATGCTGCTAATGATTATCAAGATAACAAAACGTCTGATGATAGTGCAAAAACAAAACGCGAAAATCTTCTTAAGAAACGTTCTGGTCTACGCAGAAGTACTTTAATAATAAAACTATATCTTGGAAGTGTTTCATGAATTTTGCGCCGGGAAATAAAAGGGTCATCTATTTTAGTGGATATTATCGTTTCCTGTACATTGCAATTAATTCTATTGCCTTTAAAGTACCATTAATATGCTTAATAATCGTATATAAATTCAAAATAAGATTGTACAGAACAGATTCCGTTCTCTTTAGTTGAAAACCACACAATATATCAAAAGGTTGTAGTTTGGATGGTTTTTGAAAATTCGATCACATACATCAACGATGTCAGAAGCGATTCTCAATTAATCGCGAGTTTTTCAAACCTGTTCTATAGAATATTATCTGTCGCCATTTACTGCTAATAATAAGTGAGATATGTGATTTAATGTGTATGGCTTAGTTCCTTCGCCTGTCCCATGGACGAATTATAATACTATTACTGTAATGTAATGACGTGTACCGACTGAGCGAATGAACGTCGAATATTTATTCAATATAATATATTATATGAAATACGGTCTTTGAATACTTTCATAAATATTTATTCTATTCGTTCAAATTACGTATTGAATACTTAAGAAATAAAATATTGAAAGCTAAGATACCACAACCGATTTAAGAAGATTATTGCCAGTTCTGCAGTTGATCCGATGAAAGTTTAACGTATCGATTATTTTGTTCTAAATAATCGATTGGTGGTTTTTATTTTGACATGCTTGTTTTCTTTTATTATTTTATGGTGGAATGATAGCGGATGATTGGTTTGGTTTGTTTGTTGTGTGTTCGTTCGTGGAGTTTGATATTTATGTTAATATTCAACTTGACAATTAAGCATGTTTCTTCGACTAACGTTGATATTTGCATTACTTTTGGATTCCGTATGGCAATCGATTCGGTTATAACAATGAGAGTTCAATGTGTACATTGCCCTTATTTGTCACTTTCTGTTGTAATGATTTAATTAAAGGCAAAGGGATCTACTCTACACAGTTTAGTCATATGTTATAAATATTTCTTCTATTATAAGTGTCTGGATCTTGTTAGATATGTAATTATTTTAATCTAGTTTATTAAACGGAGTAACCTGGTCACCAATTTTATTTATTTTAACGTCCATTCAACGAAAAAGCAAAGATGCAATATAGACCCCCACAAAGTATTTTATGCCATATCTTTTTAATCCCAACTTTTAAAGGAAAAAGACAATTAGGATTTTGTTAGTTTAGCTTATACCTTCAAGTACACGTTTATTTCATTCATGAACGGGATTTTAAAAATTCAGGTCCAAAGCTATATGGGAGTTCGCCATTGTTCTTTAATCGCTAACAGCACAAAAAATCAACTTATCGATTATAGCAAGTATCATTAAAGTCATGAGCATCAAATCAAGCACAACCTTAAGCTTTACTACTCTACCTAATACTTGATAAAACTACCAGATGGCGTTGAAGAGACTGTTTTACCGACTAAGAATAAAGACTTTTTGTGTTATTTCTTTGCGTTTCTATCGATAAACATGCTTAAAATTATATTCATTAAAAATTAATCCACTAATGACATTTACTGATACTGAAAAAATTCATTATTTAATCTTTATGAAAAATCCACCTTGTCCCTGGCACTCTATAATGGGACTCTAACCCATGACCTTTCGTAATACGGGCGACTGTTCTAACCACAAAGCTACACAGGACCTACATTTATCAAGCACTTGTTACTTTTTCGCTTATACAGAGCGTATTTTCATCAATGTTCAAATCCATCTAAACAGCCGAGAGAAATATTTTTACAAACATATAAATTTCGACTAAAATGAAACAGGGGCAAAGTAAATTTTTTAAGTATATTTCATTAAGTATATTTTTCAGTATAACATTGTGAATACAAAATCAAATATAATAACATTATTTAATTCTAAAAACTGTTTGAAAACACACAAACACAAGGCAAACGTTTAAATTCTACAGTGAAGTGCAGAATCATTTGAAAATAAAACGCTTAAAATTATTTATGTGCTTGGTGAAACTGTATTTATGCAATTAGTTTTATTCTAAGATGATAGATAATGTGATTGAATAGCCTAGGAAAATAAAAGAGATATTTTTTATTTTGTTTCAATAAGCACAGTGTAAAATGTGAAGTCGTTAAAATATACTTAAGATTTACTTTAAAACATAAAATAGGGATGACGACTGCGTAAAAAAATAAATTATATTTAGGCCGTTAGTGAGATAATAGAAAAATATTAGATACGTATTTTTTTTTACTTCAATTTAACCAGAAATGGCTTAAATAACAGGTATTAAAGTTGAGGAGTGGCTCCCTACGGCACAATTTAGTAAAAAACGTACCAAAGCGCGACGTCATGTAACATTTTAACTCAATATGTCGCAGTAATTTAACTATTACGAAAAAAAAATACATGTTTCATATTTTTCAACAATTACCTGACAGACAAACGAACAAAAATCAGTTGTCATTCCATATCATAGGCAATTTTTTACATTTTAGTTTATCATTATAACTGTCAAAATTGACTAAATCAATTGAAGGTTAGCGTGAGCACAAGACAATACGTCATGCAGAGGGACAGCGCGAGCACAGAATAATACAGTAGCGAAACTAAGAACAAACGGTCGAATTTCGTGTGCACATAGAGATGCACGCATTTACGTGCATTCTCAGAGGGTCTCGAGGTAGCTAAGTTGCGCTTGTCACGACGACGTACGGAGAGTGAGCGATCTCAATAAAAATTAAACGAAAATATCGTGTAGTATTAATTGTAAACTTAAAATTTATTAATTGTACCACAAGATGAGTTTGTACAATACGTCGAGAAGATGGACGCCATTTTACGCAATTAATAAAAAGAACAACAGATGAGATCCCTTTAACGCCTCTTGCCCCTGTTTCCCGTTAGTTTATTTAAATAAAAAACTTTGAAAATTAGTATTTTGTATACCATTAAATTCAATAAAGCGTTCTAAACTTGTAACGGACGATCAAACTTTTCAGTGTGTAATATATAACAGGTTATAACAATAAAAAACCTTTTAAAATGATATAATATTGTTTTATTACTACTTTTATTAATCAAATAATTCATTTTTATAGGTCATTGGATAGAATAAATTAGTTTTTATTGCTAGGACTGTATAGACTGTCCTCATTTCATTCTCAGTCTCAGTCGCACTCAGTCGTTAATTATGCTGTGTACACTACGTACACACTGACACTAATTTTGGATTATTGTCTAGACTAATTTATCTAATATATTAGTCGAAGTCATGTATTGACTGTAATCTGTAAGTGTACCTAATATAAATAAAAAAATTAATTAAGAAGGCAACCCTGGCACTCCAATGCAGCGTAGGTGTTTATTTCTAGAATTCACTAAATTTCGCTACTGTATTATTCTGTGTTGGAAGCTAACACGTATAACCGCTGGCGACGTACGTACAGAGTACGCGTGCGCGTGGTGGTGGGCGTGGCGCGTGCGTATCCGCGCGGCCTTCTTGCGGCCGGAGCGCGTGCGGCGGCGGCGCGGCGCGCTCCTGCCGCACGCGTTACCGGCGTTGTCCTACAGCCGCGTGCGCACACAGTGTACACTATAGTGCCGTCGATTGATAACGCGCTGGACACTTGTGTTGTATTAAATAACGCGCGACTTCATACGGATATATATATATTTTTATTATTTATTGATTATTCAAATATTTAAGTTTGGTAATTTGTTGCACGAGTTTTTGGAAAAGAATCCATTTATGTGTAAATATGTAGGTATGTGACTTTGTAATAACGCCGTAACAAACGGAAAGGATATTTTTTTTAAACATTACTAATAATAATAATGAAATGTAATAATAATATTAGATATTGATAGGATAACCTTACTCTACATCCTTTTGTAATGTTATTTGTGGTGGAAATAAAAAAATTATTATAATATTTATTATTAGTGAAATAATGTTTAATTATCGATTTTTTAAACACAATTACGTCGTCAAGATGGCGGCCTAGGCGCATTAGCAATTTGCGGGTATTATATATACTTCCAACTCGGCAGGTATAACAGTAGATAAGTACCGCGGCCCGAAATCGTTGTTGTTAAGTAACTTTCTCAAAGGACGGTCACGGGATGGGTGACATATTCAGCTACTCCGTGCTTCGGAAGACACGTTAAGCAACGGTCCCGGTTGCGTTTGCAGTCGTTAAGACTCTCCGATCCGCATTGTTCTAGCGTGGAGGGTCAAGGTCAATTCTCTTTAGCCATACATAAGGAAGACCTGAGCCTCTGCAATGAGGACATATAAGGGTTGATACTTCCAGTTGTCTATACCATACATTTATGATGAACAATAGGTGGTTTTTAGTTAGGCCTTTCTGTTAATCATTGGTTTGATTTTATGCAAACATGGAAAAATTTCATTTAAAAAAAAAAACAAATACTGCATCGACACCAAATTGATACATGTGAATTCCTGATTGCACATAAAAATATATGTTTTGATACAATTTATCATTTCAATCAAACGATTGGAATATAAATAAATAAATAAAACGATTATATTCATAAACTGGATTCTTTACAATTTTAGTTACTTCGACTTCGACTCCCGATAATATACAAAAAGAAACAGTTCAAAGGAAAAAGATACCAAACGCATATGATATAGAGCATATTTTACCTGAGCGGGCAGCGTCACCCTGTAGGCTGGTATCCGATGCCCCCACCACAACTGGCGAGAGATGCACCAGTCGCGTATGTTCTCCATCCAGTGGTACCAGATCTTCTCGTGGACGTCAGGGATGATTTTCAATTCGCCTGTCTTCACTGCCTTTATGGCTTCGGCCGCCATCGTATCGCACCTTATATACCTTCAACATTATTTGACGGTTAGAATGTTAATAATAATGATTGACATCGAGTATCTAGTTGGCGTAAAGGATATGCGCCGCGGCACGCGATCGTTGTCGTTAAGCAACTTTCGCGAGGGTCGGTTACGGGATGGGTGACCAAAAAATTATTATCTCGAGCTACTCCGTGCTTCAGAAGGCACGTTAAGCAACGGTCCCGGCTGCATTAACCATTTAAAGATTAACCATCCATAAGGAAGGCCTGAGCCCCTGCAGTGGGGACGAAATAAGGGGCTGATGATGATGATGATGATGATTGACATTGACCACATGACAGTTATAACATAAAACTATGTGTTTGCGTCCAGTGATGCCTTGCGTTTTATTAGTAGCAAGTCGCCTAATGTTGCAATTTGATTATAGGAGGCGTTCGTATTACGACGGTGCTTGTGAAATTATTTTTATTAATTTTTCTTTCTATCATAAGACCTCGCAATATGTGAATCGAGCTCCACAAGTATTTTAACTATTATAGAAATAAATATATTTATTGTACTGTATTGAAAGTTTTCACTCCTGCTGTTTGACATCTATCCCGAAGGAACGTGCAGGCCCGGCTAAGGAGAAAAGAGATGAGTAGCCAGTCTTCTTAACAGTTGGAAATGGTAACTTATATGTAAATAGTTATAATTTACAGTAGCAGTTAGCAGTACTTTTGTTTTAAAACAAACTGAAATCATATTTAACTTATTCTAAATTTAACTTGTGATTTATAACCACGAGAACCAAAATCATGTGACGTCAATAAACTCAACAACGATATATTTGTTACGAATGCATCCAGTGCTCATTTTTATATTGAGATGTGACGTCATAGCTCAAAATGACACATGACTGCTTTCGCGGGATAATTTAGAATAGATAATTAAAATATCCCTTATTTAATAACAGTTTTTGGAGATAAATAAAACTGGTTGTAATTTGATATGATCATATGAAAGTATGACAATGTATATCTCACCACTGCGGCTTGAGCATCGGCTCCACCACGTCCTTGGAGCGGCTGCAGAGCGGCACCACCATGGCGTGCTCCCGCGTCTCTCGGTACAACTTCAACTGCTCCAGGCACTTGACGATGCTGCGACGGACATCGAACCGCTTCATGCCCTACAATAGATACGATAATATAATAGGGGTGTAGATAACTTTTTTTTTATACATATAAATTAAATTACATATTCTTAAAAATATATATTATTAAAAAAAAAGCATCATCCATAATAATATGTTAAAGTCTAAAAAATAAATTTAATTAATTATACGCCATAACAACGTCTGTCATGGCGTCCCTGACGTCACGCCTCTGACGCCCCTCTAAAACTAATATCGTTATATGCATGCTTAAGATTTAAGTTTCTAAATTCTGACATGAGTAAGAGGGGCGAGAGGTCACTCGCTATTTGCATTCACGTGACACCGTATATAAAATATTTGTTTTTTCATAATTGAATAAATAAATAGATACAATAAATATAAAAATGTGATTATCGATAATAGTATCTTCAACACTAGAAGAAAAAAAAGGAAACAATAATCGATATGTTAGGAGAACATATGGATTCTTGTCTTTTTGTATTGGCCTTCCCTATAGATGTAATCGAACCAAAACGCATTGGGAGAAATGACCACCACGCGGGCCCAGCGCGGATAAAAAGATATACGTTCAGCATGGCAAGATAATATAACATTTTTAGGAAAACAAACAGATTCTTGACATAATAATAACAAAGATGTATTATTTTTGGAATATAATTTTTGATACTATAAAGAAACAAGTATAGATCTATATATTTTTTAAATTCTAAATCCAAAGTGTATAAAGAAAGGATTTTAATTAATATGCCACCGATGTCTGTTTGTCGATCCGACCGTTCACCTCTGGGATGATCCAAGAATCGCACGCCGATGTCAAGTCTCTGTGTTCCTGGGTTTGGTTCAATGTATGTGGTTTTATTTTTTAGTTAATACCTGTGTTTTTGTCCGTTCGTTTGTCAGTTCATATGCCTATGAATACCTCTTTTACCATGACTGTTGTCGTTGACCTTAATGATATCCTTGACATTTTCACATGTCACTAAGGTCGATAGTTGAGTAGATAATTCTTTATGTGTACATACCAGTTTATGTGTACAAAATAAGTTTTATCCTACCCAAAGGTGATATATGAAATCCAAAGTCTACACAAACGACTTCTCAAATAGAAAATAGTCTGGAAGTAGTTCCAAATAGAAACCAACGTAAAGATAACAGGTCCGGATCTAAGGGAGGGCAAGTGAGAGCACTTACCTCTGACGCAAAAATCATTATATAATAGAGAGAACATAAAACGGAGGGAGGAAGGATGTTAAAAGGGCGTAGTAACGAATTTTGCCCCGGTTGGAAACTATTGTAAATCCGGGGCTTATAATTTAAAGTATACTTACAGCGAATTGACCGCAGTTATCCAGCATCTTGCCTTCATCGTCTAGTATGGTGATAAAAGGCAGATTGTGTCGTTTACCGATCTCGTAGTCGTTTGGATCGTGTGCGGGAGTTATTTTCACAGCACCTATTTTTTTATACAACATTATAACTTATAATGTAACTTATAACTAAAACCGATACTGAAGGGACGGAAGCTTCTTATCACCATTTTGGGTGATATAGAATTTCCAAATTACTTAATGAGGCAGTTTTGTTGAATATTTTAACCTACATCTATCTAAAATCAATCTTATTACAATATTTATAATGGATCGAGTTCTACATTTTACACTACTAATAGTAGTACAACATCTAATACTACCCTAAATTTGAAATTTCTGTACTCTGTTCTATTTAGAATTGAGTAGATACCCTATTCATTGTAACATGTACACAAAACCGTAACTCTATGCACAAAACAGATGCATAGATGAAAAGATGTAAATAAAACAAGAACAATGCCATCTAACGATCGATTACCAAATAAAAAGATATAAATGAGCTAAGAACAGCGCCATCTAGGAATTCGGTTTATAATTAATAGGCATACTTTTATGACTAATCACAAAGTTGTCGCCACAGTGACGTCACACAATGGCGGGTCGTGTTTCAAGTCACGTGACACAGATAAAAATACCACGACTTTTAATTGAAAGATAATAAGATAATCGTTTGATTTTAAGACTCAAAATCATAATCTCTATATTTATTACGATGTAAATCTTAGTTTTTGTTTGTATCTTCTCTTTCTTTTTTCTAATAACAAGCGAATTATTCCTTCTTCACAAACAGATAGATAACAAAGTATTAACATCAATTATTTACTAGTTTTCCGTGGAATAATATTTTATGGCAACAATTTATTTTCAGGTAATAAAACCGAACCATTTTTCTTTAGAAATTCACTTACAAAAATATTCAACCAACGCGATTCGGAACAGTTTGTTGACTGACTTAAACTGACGTAGAAGTCTACACACTACAATGTAAAAAAGATATTAATCACATCGCATATCAATATGATAACATACCGGTGCCGAAGTTCATATCCACGTATTCATCGCCGATCACCGGCAGCTTCCTTTTAACTATAGGATGTATTAAGTTCTTGCCGATCATGTGCTTGTACCTGGGTAAGATAATATTATTTTTGAAGAAACAAAACATTTTCTCCGGTCGTCGCTCTCTTAAGGTAAACGCACAGATGAAAGAAACGAAATAAAGGAATATTAGAATAGGGGAACGGCTACCAATCAGCTTAACATGAAAATTTGACCTAGCCACGGACTTTTAGTTGATCCTAAGACTGATAAGATGACATCTATTTATAAATTGTCAGGGTCACTGGCTACAAGACTGTAGATCTAAGCATTAGCTGTTTCCATCCTTATATTTTTCACTGACCTGTCATCGTTGGGATTCACAGCGACGGCAACATCACCAAGCATGGTCTCCACGCGAGTGGTCGCCACCACTAGCTCCTCGTCTGAACCTTCAGCTTTGTATGCGAATAACACTAACACCCCAAACTCGACCTAAACAAAATATTAATAAAGTCTATTGTCGAACACATATTTTTAAATATTTTATATTTCCCATTTATTTAAATAATGGACCAAAGTTATAACAAAATCCCAATGGAAATTTTAAATTTACCATTACCTAAGTTTAAAACTCATATTAAGAATTGTCTACTCAGTAAAGGATATTATACTGTAATGAATATTTAAACGACAATACTGCTTGATGTTAAATATGGTTCATTTTTCATGTATATTAAATTGTTTATTGGTTCTTTGGCTACACATGTGATTGGATTGACGAAAAAACTGTTTTACGTTTATATTTTGTAATATTGTAATGGAAAGTGACTTCATATTTTAATGGAGTTATTTTTCAATCTTGATGCTCTGTATGAAATAAAACGGAAAAAAGCAGCCCTTTCTTGCCAGTTTTTCTCAGTACAAGGTCTCCCGCCATAGATTTACGAACCGATGGCGTAGCTCTCGACTTTCACAAGTCTAGGCTGTTACAAGCGTAACAGCCTAGACTGAATAAATAATTTTTTATTTTCCAATTTATGATTTCTCACAAGATTCTCAAAAATCTCATTCTTAATTATTGTACGAACCCTTTATAAGTATTATGTATCTTTAGTATTTTGTATGACTATGATCAAGAGCAACTTTAATGATTTTATATAAATTCCTACATATTCAATTAATAAATATTACCTTCTGTTCATATCCAGGTATAGATAACAGTGTTCGACCAGTCAACTCCATTTTATCCACTTCAATGTCGGAAATGGCACTCTTCAACGTACAAGACCAGTTTACAAGCCTAAGGAAAATTTTACAATTCATTTATTTATTCTAGTATCTATTACCGTTAATGTAGCTATGAACAATTTTTTTTTCTTACATTCACGAGCGATGGAGTCTTAATAATTCTTATGTAAGATGACAAAAACCAGCAAAACAATTTATTAGTTACCTGTATGCAAAATTTGTATTGTAAATAGTTTCTTTAGAATCCAAAAATATATATTTCTTCAGATATTAAATAGCGGGGAAGGGGTCGGCCAATTCTTACTTTTTCTTATAAAGAGTGGGATAGGAGTCATTAACAGTCAAAAATCTTACGTAATAAATTAACAACGGAATGGGACAAAAGGAATTGCAATGAACAAATAATTTGAGTGAAATAAAATATATTCAAATGAAATAATTACATCATTTACTGTGTCTTACTTCACTTTTATAATAAAATAATAATTTGTTACCTGTTAGCCCGGTAGATGTCGCCGGCGTCGTGCAATCGTATGAAAGCTTCATTGACAGCGCGACACATGGACGGGTCCATGGTGAAGCGCGCGCGCGACCAGTCATATGAAGAACCCATAGACCGCAGCTGTGCATAGATTTTATCACCCTTTCTGCACAGAAATGTGAGCTCTATTCAATAAACCATAAGAGTTGGAGTTGTAATTAATAATAATATTCTTTCAATTTCATTTTACGTTTTTTTTGCGAGAGTAGCTCGGTGGCGTATTTGATAAGCGCCGCGGCCCGCGATCATTGGTGAAGTTAAGCAACTTTCGCAACAAAAAAATATATTATCTCGAGCTACTCCGTGCTTCTGAAGGCACGTAATGCCGTTGGTTCCGGCTGCATTTGCAGTCGTTAATACCCTCCAATCCGCATTGGGTTAGCTTGGAAGGTAATGGTCCATCCTCCTTAACCAATCATCGGCCTGAGCTCCTGCAGTGGGGTCATAAAAAAGTTGATGATGACTTTGTATGGCATTTCAACAACTCACTCGTTTTTCCAATCCCAGACGCGTTTGATGAACTCTTCTCTACCAAGTTCATGACGTGTCTTTTTCTCTTCACGCCACAGTTTCTTCTCAACCACTACCTGCGTGGCGATACCTGCGTGATCACAGCCAGGGTTCCACAAAGTCGTACGCCCATTCATTCTACAACAAAGTTTAATTTTACATAAGACTTAATTAGAGTTTTACCTATTTTATAAGATAGTAGCATGATTATTTATTAATAAACTATAGAGATTTACAGAATCATTTCAAAAATCAGCAGATACAAAACATTTTGTTTGATGACAATGTGTATATCATTACAGTGGGGTTTTAACCATTAACGCCAATCATAGTACAGTATTTTTAGTTCAGATAAAAGTTAATATATAGTAACATATATATATTAACTTTTATCTAGTGTCGCAGTAAATACAAGTATATAGCACAAACTCAATTTTATTGAAATATAATAAAAGATTTATTTTTTTAACATTTAGAAAAGCTAAATTTATAAAAAGTATTTCAAGCTATAACACGGAAGGTGCTGCTGTACTAAGTTTAGTACAATGGGCACTTGACATCCAACATAACAAATTGCAAAAAAAATTTTTTTTAATTTTTTTTTCAAGCTTTTCAGGCTTAATGTTACTCATAATGTTTCATTGTTATCAGACGTCAAGAGAAAACTAGGTACCTACAAATTATAAAATGGCTATTCAACGTACTTCTGCAGAAGAAAAAACTATTTTTGCCATATATATAACCATCAGACAATGTTGATTACAATGTTTTTTTGCTGCTACCCTAACAAATGACGAAGTGGAACCAAAACTGAGCAGCCATCTTGCTAAAATCGGTGACTATTTTCTTTGTTTATGCTGATTAAATATCTATTGCAGAAACATAACTCTCAGATACGGTAAAAGGTTTAACACTGATAAATACCATAAATTATCTAGATGAAGGTCATATTAGAGTTTCGATGATAATGTTGGTGTGCCACTGGTTGCAGAATTTTGGAAATAGAAAGTAGTCTGCGTTTTAGATATAACACATTGGCTAATTTCCCTATGGATAACATTTACAAGAAGTTCTGCTTTGTAAGATTTTACAAAAAAATGGGTCATATTGTTATGTGAAATGAAAATTTGAATGACTATTTTTACTTCATGTAAAATTGCTTTGTTCTGTCAATCCTGAATATTACACAGAGTAGCTGGTATTCCAGGACATAAAACATGCACATATTTACTGATTTTGACAGTTCGCTAATAAAAAGCAAGTTGCCTCCATTTTGGCGGACATTCTATTTCCGATCGCTGAGGAGTAAAGACATCCGACAACATCACGCTCATCTCGTTATTTTTTCATATGAAAAGTGATAAAATGGAACAAATCCACGTTGGTATACACGCCTGCAGTATTATTTTAAAGATAGTCTGCCGATATGGACCATCTATTTGGGCTTCGTAAAAGCCCCCTCTGACTACCCTACATATACATTTTTTTTGTCCTGTTTTGGTGTAAATTAAAGCAAAATTTCATTAATTCATATATTTACAATTTCATGTCTTTTATTCTATAAAAGATCCTTTGGAGATCTGCCTAAAAAAGTACCTAAAGAATCAGAAAAAAAGATCTTTCTCCCTAGATATAGTCAGCAGATATGGACAGCAATATATCTCCCTAAATATATTAAGCATATTCAATTGAAAATTAAAATATATTTAAATAATAAAAATTACCTGTGCCACCTTGTGATTGCATCTTCCACAGCATTTGTGAGTGCATGCCCTAAATGCAAAGTACCCGTAACATTTGGAGGTGGGATGACCATAACAAATTTGCCTTTAGGATTTGGATCTAACACAGATTTTCTCTATAAGGAAAAATTTTAATCACATGTTTAGCTGCCTTAAAATTGTATTATTAAATATGAATAGAATAAAAGAATGCCACAGTTAAATACTATATGTATGTCATTTTCTCATATAAGAGTCAATGAAATGATTACATAAATATTCAAATTATTTCATCAATGTTCTGTAGTATTAACATTAATTTGACAAGTGAAAAGTTCTTTACTTACTCCATATTCAGGCTTAAAAAAGCCCTGTTTCTGCCACCAGGCATACCATGCGGCTTCTACATATTTTGGACTGTAGGCATCTGGCATAGAACCTTCAATGTCTTTCTTATCTCCTGGTATTGTGTTTGCAGTGTAAATTGCACTCTCTTTTGTTTCTTTTACTTTTTTCTGTAGAAATTCAAATTATAGTAAGTAATGGATATATCCCAAACTATTGTAAATAATTAAATGCAATTTGAATTAGAGATCAAAGCCGATAAGATAATATCACATTATACTCAGATAAAACTCCTGATGCAATAGTGGAGAACAATTGCAATGATACTTTCACTTAACCGAAAGAAATCTACAAGTTTGGTTAGTTGAATATTTGGAAAGAGGTTGTCGCACTCTAATTTCTTTAAAATCATATTAAATGAATACGTACCTCAGGCTTATCTTTCTGAACAGCTGGCGCTGAGCTTTTTTTATCCAACTTTGCTTTAAGTTTTTCCAGTTTTGCAGCTTTTTTGGCCTCTTTTTCTAACTGCTTAGCTGTTTTTTCTTGCGGTTGCTCCTCAGCGAGCCCATTTGCGGCCTCGTTATCAGTCATGATTTATCAGAAACTAAATAAATTATTCTTCACCAAATTATTAGCCACATTTGCAATACACGAGCAGCGCGTAAAGGATGACTAACTGACAGTGACAGTGACAATGACATTCAATCTATTTTTAATTAAATTTTATAAGGATGTAACTCATACAACCTAGAGTTGAGTCATTATAACCCTTTCCCTCTTTTAGAAGTACCTCCATATGTTTTGTCTAATAACTCATATACGAAAACAAATAATGAAATATTAACAAAAAAAAATTAGTTCCCGAAATCAAACTAGATGTTGCTACGGTACCTGTTATTGGTTGCGACGATAAAAAACGAAAGCTTAAAAAAGCACTTCCACTAGATGGCGACTCTAGCAAAAGTTGATTTTTGCAGGATATGAACGGACCAAAGCCAGTCATTTCCGTTCCTTTTAACTAACATATTAAAAAACTGAAATTTGAAAAGTTTGAAACCTAGATATCAATGCAAATACGAAAAAGTACAAATAGAATATAAGTTGTTTATTGAGTTTTGCAAACTAATTTACTTTTAAACATGAAACAAAACTGGAAAGGTTATCATGGAGAAATCAAGAACGTACCGTAGCCACATCTAGTTTGATTTTGGGAACTATTTTTTTTTTTAATACTTCCTCATTGATAAAGGTTCTTTATGCTTTGATGATGATTTCAAGCTCTATGAATGTTTTAAATTTCAAAATTTGTATCGGAATGTCTTTATAAACCAATAATGAGAATTTTAATGGATCCAAAGGTCGATTTTATTCATCTTGGTATGATTTATCCTTAGGTACCTATACGGTTGGAGTTCAATGACCCCTAGTGAATTGATGAAATTAATAGTAAAAACAGACTTCAGTTAAGTGTAATGTTTTACAACTGTTGCATAAATCAATTTATAGCGTTTGAGTTTTGAATAGCCATCTAAGTAGGTGTAGCGAAATTTATGTACCAAGAAATTATTCTTTTTTATAGTTTTCATATTGTTTATGTCACTGGTGGACAATGATTATTATATATTCCCTGAGAGCGGGTAGCAATGCAAGAAGACAATTTTCAGAGGTCTTAATAATTATAAAATTTGTTGAATACTTAAGAAGCGTTTAACTTCCTACATCCAAACCATCCAGAAGTTTACCCACTAAAACTCAGCGATGTCCTTCTCATGGTGGACGAGGCGCGGGATCGGCCCGGAGGCCATACACCGCGCAGTTCACCCCCATTTCGGCCCGCCCTGCAAAGGGCAGGTCCCACTCGGGTTGGGGGTACGTCTCAGAGACATTCGAGACGCATCCCCATGACGAGGCAGGAGCGTGCAATGCCGACCGGTGCACGAACCGGCCAGCTGCCCCTGACTAGGGACCAGAGATGCGCAACTGTGCAATCTCCGGGCCCCACCCATCGTGTTGGGAGGATCCACACAGGCATAGCCCTTATCGTGGATCCCCCCCTCCCCCACATCCAAACCATCCAAGTTGAAGTTGACATTGAATATTCTGGTGAATTGAACGATGTACGCAACCCCCAAATAGGTAATTAGGAATTGCAATGCCTTTGTGAGCAGTATCGTTGCTCGAAATTGCTCAAAATTTGTATCGGTAGTGTCTCTTAAACAGAAGAGTTTGTGTTTGTTTGTGGGTGTGTGAACTATGGACAATCCAAACATGTTTCCACACTAAAATGTTATTAAATACTCACATACTTTTCTTCTCGTATAACTACATGAATGCAATGTAAAAGCCACTTTTTAGATACTTTTTATTATAAAAATGTTATTTCCAAATCAATTTTACAGTTAGCAACGTCATCTCAGGTGAAGGTCTCTTCAAAACATACTTATTATCGCTCTACAAATGAAAGAAATGTTTTTGTCCACTCAACAAAACGTCAGGCTTTAGAAAATTGTCTAATTTCTCAACTATATTTTTAACCTTAATTTTGGGTTGAGTTCAAAATTATAGATTTTATAGTAGCTGAAGTGGAGCCCAGTGTGCAACATTTTTGATGCACCGATTTTTTATTGAATTAATCTTTAAAACTTCGAGATTCAAGTCGTTTCTTTTGCTATGTATCGTAATAGTAGTAGTAGTAGTTTCACCCATGTGACAGGCGAAAGAACTACGCGTACGCCATACAGCCAAATATTACTACTCTTTGGCGTTATATAACAGTAAATAGGGATATTCAAATATCGTCGATATATCGAAAGTACTCGATGTTTCCATACGATTTATCGGATTGTTTCGATGTTTTGAAAAATATTTTTCTATTCGATATATCGAATATCGATACTTTTATAACACAATATCGAATCGATTAAATAACATTGACAGCTGACTCATGATGACAATAAAAGCTAAAGTAAATTTTAACATTACAACATTTTCACTTTGGTTTTTATAACATGACAACAAATTTACAGACGTCTTAGGGCTAGTTGTACTCGGCAGCTAAGTTTTGCCAACCCAATTGCTAATCTTTTGTTATAGCCCCATCTGTTTTTTTTGTTTTCTATAATAAGATATTTCTCCACTAATTTTAAAAGGTGCATGTTTTCAGCAATTTTACTCTACTTTATGAATAACTTCGAATGATGAAATGGTTCGGTGACTTCAAAAATTTGTATGTTGATATTGAGTTTTGACAAAAAGTTTAGAAAAACAAACATCATCATTTGTTTTCCTAAACTGATTTTATGGCGCCGGACTCTAATCTTTTCATCAAAAACGGAACATAAGGAATAAATGGTGAACGAATAATATTCTAAATCTCGGTTTAGTTAAACTGGTCATGATTTTAGGATCTGCAAGATAACTTTAGTTAGATTTCAGTTAAGTCGAGTTTAAGGCTAAGTCTGGATTTAATTAAATCGAGATTTTGGAAATTTTACTGCAAGTGGGTCTAAAAAAGGAAAACATTGAAATTTTCAAAAAATACTCGATATTTAAAAAATATCGATGTTTTTATACGATATATCTAAAACATCGATGCCAGTTACCGATATTTTATATCGAGTATTCATATCGATATATTTTTTAAGTGGACATCCCTATCGGGAAACCTTGTGGCGTAGTCTATGTTGCCAGTCTGGAAATTTCATCTTGAATATGAGGGAAAACGATAATGTCTCAAAATTAGACAGATTTTTTTTAAATTTTAACATATTAAAATAAATTGAAATACTCTTCATTACAATCGAAAGCTCCAAAAACTTGTTTAACTCTGTCGTGCTGTCTTCGTTTCACCTCCACTCTTTTGTGGTTTTATGTAGAATGTATGTTTATTAAAATTTTAAAGTAATATATGAAGAGATTCCATGTTGTCATTTAATGTGTTATATTAATTTATTCTCTTTGGTATGAATCTGGGAAAATTTAAGAATCATATCTGGCAATCCTAACTACGGCGCAATTTGTCGGTTGATTTTTTTACTCCGCCATCTTGTTTTTCGATTCTGCTGAACGCGTTGTGCGCTCGTGCAATTTTTATTCTCGGAAGTTATTTCTGGTATTGTTAGAGCGAATTCAAGTGGTTTTGTTTTATTTTACTGTTCTAGTTCATCTGAGAGTGCGTCATGTCTGATCGCGAGGTAACTATATTTACACTGGTTCATTACTGTTTGCCAAGCCGCGTGTTTTATTTGTGCTCGATCTTATGCTATTATTACGCGTTGTGATTGGGACTTCTGCTGTTTTCAGAGAAGCCGCTCGAGAACACGCAACGGATCACGAGAACCGGCACCGAAACCTACCGCCATGTCTCGTGGACACAGCCGAAGCCGGTCTCGAACGCCGCCCCCGCCAAAAACATCAAGCAGGAAATATAGAAGCCCGTAAGTTAGCAAATGACCTTGGCTCAAAGTTATGCTTTGTTTGCAGAAATCTTTTTGGTTGATGCAACCTCAACAATAATTTGGGTCGTTTCTATGACATGTTTTTCATATAACCTTGTTTTCAAGGAAATATGTGTATGTCGGTTGCGCAATGACTGGTTATACCTTCCTGTTGTCATCATAATTATATGATAATTATCTATTTGACCATACAAAAAATACCATGCAACAAATGTTTGATCAATATTTTGTGTTTTGTTTGGTAACAGTCTTGTAGGTATAGTAACAAAGTAATCAATCTTGACTAAAATTTATATGGTTTTGCATTCAAGATAAGAAACTCCAAGGCAACATTGCTGTTGCATAAATGTATATTTACCAAGTTGTTAATTATAAGCTAAGATCTCATTTTATATAAATAATTCAACTGAATACAAATAGTGAAAAAGATAGTAAATACCAATGTGGATCTACTAAATATAAATGAAATTCACATTGTTCAGACTGTTGATTATGATCATAATACATACGTGTATTTTTTTTTTATATTCATTGGTAATAACTTGTTATAAATAATTTCTTTTAACTCCCTGGTGCTCTGCAGTTATAATAATTGTATGGAATCGGCTAAGTCCTGTCTTTCAAATTTAAAAAAGCAACATCTAAAGCTTCAAAGGATTCTGCATGAGATGTTACTTGATTGACATACGTCCTTAGTTTCTGTTTCTTATTCATTTTATCTCTCTTTTCTATTTGAATAGTAAAATTGTCAAGATAAAAGACAACCTATCACTTTAACGCTGTCAAAGAAAACGATACAATATACCATAAACAGATGTAAATGCCATAAATTTTGGAAAATTAAAAAAATATAGTCAACTGTCTTGCTACTCTGCTCAGTATAGTGACTGTTATGTATTTAGGGATCTAAAAATGGCCAAAGAATCAATAAAATCGATTGTGATGCATGGTAGTTATAAGCGATGTCCTCCCTGCTGACGATAGGACCGTCTCCAGGTCACGTTCGCGGTCTGGCTCCCCGCGTCGCGGTTACCGCTCGCGGTACTCGCGCACGCGCTCCCGCTCGTACTCACCGCGCGGCTCCTACCGCCGATCGCACTCGCACAGTCCGATGTCTTCAAGGCGAAGGCATCTGGGTGACAGGGTGAGTTCTACCTATGTAAGTATGTTTGACTGCGCACGCATTGTACACTCATGAGCTATCTAATGCATATTTTAGTACCATATAATCAGTAGTGACTTAACTGTTGTTTTTTCTTAGTACTATATAATTGGTGGTAACTTAACAGTTTTTGAAAGTTGTGTTGATATTTTGCATTGATGAGGAACTAAACTGTACATTTTATCGCTTGTGAGTGTACAATAGTAGAATTTGTTGCTTATAGAGATTTTTTGTTCAACTTGCACAGAGATCTCGCATTGTATTTTTGCGAGTTGTATTTTTCGGGGTTAAAAGTAAAATTAAATTTAGAGGAAACATTATTATCGGAGCAGTAATGTACAGACTAAAAATCTCACAGTAGTATATCAGGTTAACAAAGATTAAACATTTGAATTTGAAATCTACTTACCTCCTCCTATTAAAGTTTGAAGTCAAGGACAGTTTAAGTTTTTTAGAATCTGATGTACTGTTACTGGCTGTACTTTACTTCCGATTATTTCTATTTCATGTACCCAAATGATTTTAAATTATTAGTTTATTGCTTGTTTGATAGGTGATCCATTAGATTTTATAGTAAACAATATTCATTGTATTGTCTACAGGAAAATCCGACTCCATCAAGGTGTCTGGGTGTATTTGGATTGAGTCTTTACACGACAGAACAGCAGATCAACCACATCTTCTCCAAATATGGTCCAGTGGATAAAGTGCAAGTTGTTATTGATGCCAAGGTTGGTTTCATCAAAATTTCTCTAATAGTTTCCTATTGAATTAATAATATTTGTTTCTGGTGACATTTGCTGTAGATGGCTCAAGGCAAGGCTTATTTGACAAATCAGAGTGAACTTAATTTTTTTTTTTTTATTTAAATTGCCATTGTTGATTTAGGTAACAAATAATCTAAATGTTAAAATAATAGTTTTCTACAGGATAGCTACTCTGTACCTTGTATTTATTGAGTTCCCAATATTTCATCACTGTGGCAAGTGCAATGATCATTGAATAACTCAATCAACATGTTTCTATGTGATGTAGAGATCTTCTTTGACTGTTACATTATCTGGTTGAGGTATTCCTAAGTCTAAATTACCATATCAAAAAAGGTGTGAGAGGTGTCTCTGCAAATACTAGAGAGTCCACATTTGAGAGTCTAAAATAGTTAAAGTTTGAATAGAGTTCAAGTGCATGGGCACACACATAAAATTAAAAACAAAGAAACACTATAATGGAAGTAATGCATGGGTGATTGAAGCTTCTGCACATTAAATGTCAAACAATCATAAAGAAGCCTTAATAATGTTCAAAGTTAAAGATCGAAATGCAATATCACTGTTAATTATTTCAAAATCAGACTGGCCGGTCCCGAGGTTTCTGCTTCGTGTACTACCAGAACCAAGAGGACGCCAAGGTGGCTAAGAACGAGTGCACCGGCATGGAGATCGACGGGCGTCGCATACGAGTGGACTTCTCCATCACGCAGCGAGCTCACACGCCCACGCCCGGCATATACATGGGCAAGCCCACGTAGTGAGTCCTTCCATTATTGTTTGCTTGATTATATACTCATAAATAATAATTAGAGCAGGAACGTACTAGCGTTTTTTACTTAACTGTAAAATCAGTACGGAGATCCATTAGATTGACTGCATTTGGCAATAAAAATTAGGCTGATCAAACATTCTGACATAACAGTGACCAAACTATTGACAGACTGATGGTCAGTCGCACAAACGTCCACTGAGGTTTAATGACGCCTTCAAGCACTAATGAATGTGAAATTTGTGTGGGTAATGTTGCTTTAAACTAATGATAATTTTAATGGACGTTTGTGCAACTGGTTGTAAAAGTAGTTAATGCGTTCACTCTCAATTTGTATATCGACGGCGAAGTGCCAATACCTTCTAACTAACACAGACAAAATTTTACACAAAGTGAAAAAAATGTTTAATTTCTTGGAAACGTTAAAATCAAGAAATCAAGTTATATGGAGCACCACATATCAATATGACAGGCTTAGGTTTCAATAAAATATTAATTTGATTAATAATCGTTTAGTAGGTATTTCGTTAGATAGAAGGTATTGGTTTAACATCCTCAGTGATTTCATTAAATAAATTGTACGATAGAAGGTATTGATTTTAATTAAAACAATAATTACTTTGAAAAATTGCTTTTACGATTGATATTGTTGTATTGTTTCGAGTTGCGGATTATCTTGGGTTTATGCAGCCTAGTATCACTGCGACCATTGCTGATCTATTGTGATCTCCACATACTACAGTTCACGGTCAAGATTACATTCTACAAGAAACTGTAGTATTTTCTTGGCCGTAAGTTCTTTAATATCGTCTGGGTGCATCACGTGCTTTCCCAGATAGATACATCGTTTTCGCATTAGTGACGGGCAATCGGTCAAAATGTGCAAAGGTGTTTCTTCTTCCTCCTTGCATCCTCTGCACATTCTACTGCCGCTGATCCCCATATTGTACATGTGTCTGTTCAGTCCACAATGCCCTGTGAGTGCTCGTACTAGTGTGCGAAGGTGATTTTTGGTTAAGTTTAAGGCCTCTGATGCCGCCTTTTTGTTGAAGGTTTTAATCAGGGTCTTAGAGTGTTTCATACCGGGAGTGTTTCTCCATAGTTGAATAGCTGCGTAGTGGCAGTATGTTTTCAAGGTGAGCTGGGTTAGGCTTTGAGGGATGCCACAGAAAGGTTCTGGTCCGATAAGGGCGTCTTTAGCACCCTTCTTCGCCAGTTTGTCCGCCTGTTTATTGCCCTCGTGTCCAGCGTGACCTGGAACCCATCATAGAACTACTTTGTTGTTGTTGCCCAAAGAGTTCAATGTCTGTTTGCAGTTCTCTACCAGCTTCGATCTAGTTATGTCGGAAGCTAGTGCTAAGAGTGCAGCTTGACTATCAGAGTGGATGTAGATAGTATGATTGAGGTAGTTATTTTGCAGATTGGCTGCCGCACATTCCAAAATGGCGTACACCTCTGCCTGGAATATTGAGGAGTACTTTCCCATGTTCAGACTTATAGCCTTCCTTGGGGCTTCTCCATGAATTCCACATCCTACCTCAGGACCGGATTTGGAGCCGTCAGTGTACCACTTTAGGCTTCCATTTTTCCATACTATACGATTGTTTGACCAGTCGTCCCTGGTGGGTATCTCTACCAGATATGACCTGTGTGAATCGATTCTCGGGGGCATGGTGTCAGTAGGCATCCCCAGGATTGGTATATTGCATATTGAGTCCTTCAGGTACCTCCCTCTATTACACCCTCGCAAGTGACGTGACGCAACCTTACCGCTAACTTCACCCATATCACGAGCCGCGGCGCGGCGCCGCTGTGAAAAGTTAATCGGCAATGTTCCGCGTTGAGATGTAGTAGTCTTGTACGTAGATAGGAGAAATTGCCATAAATTATATACGCTAATTTAGTTAGAAGCTATTTCCACATTCATTTTTCTCCAGTTGTCGTAAAAAATACGGATAGGTGATTTCATGAACCCATGTGGAAAACGACCTTAACGTCAATGAAATAAAAAAGTCATTTTCTCGAAAAATGTTAGATAGGAGGTATTGGCACTTCGCCGTCGATATGATCACTATTTCATTAAACAAAATCATACATATTCTTATCAAGGAGTATTTTTTTTTTTATATAATATATCCTTTTATGAAAAGATCCCTATATTAATGTAATTTTATACATTTTTCAATATTCAATACATAATCTCAAATGGGCGATTATTGGTTTACTCCTTCTTACTAAACACCTTTCGGTTAAAATTAATGTTATATGTACATAACATTTACAAAGCACACAGATGCATAATTTGTAACATTATAAAGATTCTCACCTTTTTAACTCTGCACCTAGATGCAAGGATTTAAAACTACTTTAATAACATTTCCTATCCTCATTAGTCATTACTAATGGAACATGGAATGCTGAGCTTGTAAATTACTTTTATATACTATATTTGTTATGTCAATATGTATAATAATGTAATTTGTATTACAAGGTCACTACAGAATTTTAACATGTCAAAATAATTTGATGCCAGTAGAGGTCAAGGATTATTGTCTTTCCGTTCATACGAAAGCTGAATAACAATTCATGTCAACATATTAACAATTTAAATATTCCAACTACCTTTGCACTCGAATCTACATTATAGATTTGTGTATAAAATGTGTATATTTAGTTGGTAGATTATACTGAGTAGATTTAGAGTGAGTCAGCTACAAGTAGCGCTGTTTCACTAAAGGCCTGCTTGAACATTTTAAAATTAATAAAATAGATTCAAATGAATATTGAATTGAATTAGAATTATTTTTTAACTGATAATTGCAGACTTTTACTACAGTATAATTGTTTTTCAGTGTTAGCAGCAGAGGCGACAACGGTTACGACAGGCGTAGGGACAGAGAGTGAGTACTTTTAATTTTTGTAAATTATGGACATCCTTAGTTATTATACATCCTCACTGAAATAAGTTTCTTCATACTGTCTATCATTTTATCGAGCTTGTATGGCGCAATTGTGAAATACAAATTTAAAATATTGATTCAACAGGGTGTACATTTTACCAATGATGTCGATTAACTTAACTATTACATATGTAAAAAACATAAAGTCAAACTTTATAAATAAACTAATAACCCATTTTGATTGTTATTATTATAAATCCAAGTGCTGTTATTATAAATATATCTGGCCGTTGTTTATGTAGTATTGTTTTGTCATACAGCGACTACTATTACCGCGGCGGTGGCGGCGGGTACCGCGAGCGCGACTACTACCGCTACCGGCACCGGTCGCCGTCGCCGCACTACCGCCGCAGCCGCCGCTACGAGCGCGAGCGATCATACTCACCGCGTAAGTCTTACTACCACCCCGAGCGATAGGTGCCACGAACACAGTGCACAACTACTGCAGGCCTAGCTTGAACATCGTCGTGATATAAACATATTTTCAAATAATCCATGCTCAAATAGAAAATTACCGAGTGGGAGGGAACTCATCTACTTTATTTTTGTAGACTTTTCTTTTTTTTTTATGATTATAAATATGCGTTCTGATTAAATATTGATGTTTCATGACACTAATAATTGTATGATTAATTTAGATGTTGCCATATTTATTTCAAATCCTTAAAATATAACAAGCTATTTCTTTTATATAAAATTAAAAATAACAAGATTATTGTTTTTGTCAACATATACTTATTTTTACTTTCTTAAAAAGAATCTATTCACCCATCGATGTTCTGGCTTTCCCTGACATGGACTTGCTAGTCTGCTGTGTATTCAATCTTCATTAATTAGTTTTCCTAATAGAATTTTAAGTCTCATCTTCATTGTTTTCAAAACAAATTTATTAAGTTCATATTTGATATATAAATGTTTCATGGTAGCAATTTCTTTTGTAATACACTATCATTAACCATGTGTGTATAAATGTATTCCATGATTATATTTGATAAATATTAATATTATAAAAAAAATAGATTGCAGTCTAATTTTTTCAGTTATGATAGATACAACTATTATCAATAAATGTTTAACAAATATATAATTTGATAAATGGCATGTATTTTCGAGGAATATATTTATAACACTTATGTTTAGTTCGGTCATACCATTATGCATTTAAGTTTGACATAAAAATATAGCTAATGTTAATTAATAAACTTTAAAAATACCATTTGATTTGTTATAAAAGTATTGTGCACATTGTGTGTAAGAAATAAGTAAATTTTTTATCAATTTATTTTCTGAAACTTGCTTCTATAAGGTGAACTATTAGAGAAACCAAAGAAAATTGTATAAACCATCAAATTGTTTATTGTACTAAATCTTGTTTGGTAATGGAAGTTTCATACCTAGTGTTTACATAGTAATTTAGTTATAACACCCATCATTGATTGTTAAATTTCATCCGATATTTATATTCTCTACCCATTTATACATGAATAGAACTGAATACCCAAATATGAACTAGCAGATAAGTGGATGCAAGGCGAAAGTTTATTGTATAATTGGTTTTACAAACTGCGTTGTATGTTGGTTATTTATCAAAATTTCTATATAATTCAATAAAATAAAATATGTCTAAAATTGTTAGCTCCTGGTTGCTTAAGGAAACCAATTCAATTACTTTTTTGTTCACTGTATTTTCAATGTACCCAATGTATAGGAAATGTTAACTTATTTTTCATTAATTTCTTTGAAATCAGTTATAATTTCTGTAGTTATTAGAGAAATCAACCATCACATGAATATTGTGGATTATCACAAAACGAGGAGACATACTTTAAAATTTGTTAGAGCACTAGACTAGAATTTATACGAATAGACAATGCCGTTTGTAATGTTATGAATTACAATATGTGAACAACGTTTTGAATAAGTGTATCACCTTTTTTCGCTTCGCACTGCTTTTGGTACAAGTCAATAAGATCAGTTGATAAATAAGTTGGTAGAGAATATAGTATCTGAGCACAATCGTACATTGATTTTGTCCATAACACTATGGTTACTCCCATGTTTGACTTTACAGGTCGTTATTAGTAAGTTCGTCACGCTGTCGTCAACTTCAGACATAGCATAGATTTTGACACACCACACCTTCCCAACCATGTCTCCACTGGCCTTATGCATTTATACTGTACCTGGTTAGGCCGGAATTAGTTATAGAAAGTTTGTTGTATGACATTAATTTTGTAAACGTCTTATGCCTCTAGGCACTGGAGAAGTTCGTTTATGTTAACGATACGTGATACAAAGTTTATAGTATGTAAGTTAGCGTGTAATAGCCCCGTCGGGGTATAGTTGCCTCTAGGATGTAATATTAGATCTAATAAAGGTTTAACACTAAGTCTAACATTGATTTTGTTTGTTTGAAAAGGTATTGAAACAAGAAGTAAAGGATGAAGTTCCTTGAAACTAACTGTGTTGAAGTTTTGAAAATGTTTGAATTGAAAAAGTCCTTTCGAAATGGCGATTGCCGAAAACGCCGTCCGGCCGGTGGGTGCCGGTAAGAAAATGTGTAGAAGCGAAGTGTTCGAAACGTAGCCGACTCTGTCGAAGCGAAAAGAATATGATCGAGTCACGGTTATAGGCCCGTACGAAGCCCCGCCCGCCTCAAGACGGACAAGAGAGAAGTCAGTCGCGCGCAACTAGACACATTAGATCATATTCTTTATCTTCCGACTATGAAAGCGAAACGCGCATTTCGAGAAATTTCTTTTTAGTATATTAACGCCGTGATCGTTTGCATTTTTTTCTCGAGTACAATAGCGATATATATTTATGTATCAGATATAATTATTATTATTATAGACTCTGATGACACCACATTTCACATTCTATTTTACTAGTGTAGTACTGTGTTGTGAGCGACCTTAATAAAACAATAGTTTTGTAATACCACCATGGTTCTTCATTCATCCTATACATTTATCCTATCCTTATTTTATTGGTTTTCACTAGGTATTTCTCATATATATGTATTTATCTTGACAGTATGGGGGTTATACAGGGTTAGTGTAAAACAAACTACCTCACATAATTATAGACGCTTGTTATATGGTTTGTTATTTGTTACTAACTATTATATACTAATTCGAGAGGTAAAATAAATTTTATTCTAATGTAAATAATACGTATGTTCTCTCGAGATTTATGAATAAAAGCGACTTATAAATACAACTAAAAACTTGAAAGATCATTTCAAAGTATCGAGTTGTGGTTTAACTCTTAGATTAAGAGCGTTTAAGATTTTAACGGTCTCGTTCTGCGAGGTTGCTAATGTTTAACAAGTAACCCTGTATATATTAAAAATATCAGTATGGTCGTGTAGTTCATCGTAATGGTAAAACTTATCTAGTTAGATTAGAAAGACATTTTTTAATTGTCAGGTTTTATTAAAATCTTAACAATAATATGTATATTTATTATAAATAGAAACCACATACGCTCGTATTGGCACTCTTACAAATATGGCAATTCTAAACAAAATGAAATAACAAAATATACAAGAATCCCACTTAACATGATCATAAATTATAACAATTAAAATAACTGCAAAATATATATAGCTTATTTCCGTTGGACGCAGTTCGGATGAGTCACGATATATCCATTATACATTATCTTAAAAAAATAATTAAAATAGTCTTTATCTTTTTATATTTTATCAATTTATTTGGCAACTTTGTTTCCGCTTGGCGTTTCTACCACGGTGACTATGCCGCAATATAACTTTAAAATCACATAAAAAATTCCAAATATAGCATAAACTATCCCGGTTACAAACGAAAATGTTTTTCTATAAAGAAATCTGTTATCGTAAGTAATTTTTTATTAGACATGATACTAATTTAAAAAAACAGTTAATATAAAAGTTAAGTTGAAGCCATATAAAAATTCATTCTAGTAGGCCTAGGCAAAACTAAAGCCAAAACTCCAAAGTTTACTAAATCTCAGTCAATAGCATGTCAGTTGTACATACAATTGTCAAGTTTTCCATCTCATTTTAAACCTTAATGCATTGGGTAGTAGAGTGCGTAATCTTTATGATTAATTATATGGAATTGTATAGCCTCTGTCATATTACCCTAGAAAATTAATAGATAACGTTATAAGTCGCACATGTGGGGTTACTAAAAAGTCCATTCTCCAATTGATCGATTGAAGAAACTGGCGTTTAATAGTAACCTGACTTCGCTGGTTTGTTGGTGTCAGTCAATATAGCATCACCACATCGGAATTTGAATTTATTTCTTGACTCGCTCGCAGTCCGTAATTTCCTTGGCATGTTCTATTACTGCAAGAGACTGATGAAAGAGGCTTCACGAATCGAGAATTAATCTCAAAATCCAAGTGGTGCTGCTGTACTGACGGACACTGTTTGTGGTCGTCAATATAACGATTGGCGTTCCGCTACGGCTTCGTCACCGAGGTTGAACTATAAGTTTTGCCACTAATCTTTAAAACGATGCAATAACAGTGGTTGAAGCGGGACAGTGCTATACGACTGCGATCGCATCGCATTTAAAGGTTTATGGTATACCTCCTAAATATTTGTCTAGGAGTTTAACAATTCATGGAATGTGAATAATACTGTGAAGCAATAATGACTTAAACATTTGCTATTAAAAAATAATAATGAATAAAACAAGTTGTGGTCGTAAAAAACAAACACTGATCACGACTTATCTTTTAACCTACTCTAATAATGGTTTCGGTAGCTTGATATTTAATGATTTTTATCATTTCACTACTAATCAATAGATACTAACAACACCTAAAACCCATTGGGCATTTTAAGGGACGGGGATGCTTTCTACAATATTGAGCTGCATTATCTTAGCATGGCGGATGCGGGCGGAAGAGATGTAAAAACTATGCTTGAAGCCGATCTACCTTCAAAGGATGAGAATAAAGTTCTTACGGCACCGTGATAAGATGCTTTTAAAATTATCAGAATACAATACTATAAAATTAATGCATAAGATCTTCTTACAAACTAATGGCAAGAATACGATGAGCCACGCTAAACATAAATAATTTACGTAATTCACTAAGATTAATTGAATTTACAGTGCTAAGCGAATGAAACTTATCTCTGTTATTGGCAGCCATTATAGCATCGTTTTTAGGGCGTATAGAACTGGCATTTTCGGCCAAAACGTAATTTCGATTTTGGCAAAAAGGAACACACAAATCCACTCAAATTACTGTTTTTTTAGACCAAATAAGTCTCGTCTGTCCAATTTTCTCTCGCTTAGCACTATGTAAAAAAATGGTACATTTCAGAGCCGCAAATGCAAAATATTACTAAAATACTAAGCTCTCAAAGTATTATAAGGTATAGTATAAATTAGTACTAAAATATATTTTGTAACTATTTACGGATCCGTCAATATTTCAGATATGTCATAAGTTACAGAAAGTTTGGGTTTTTGTTTCGTTTTTTTTTAATGTGAGTGCGTTATTTCTACATAACGGTCAGTACACTACACTATTTTCGCAGAGACCTGGCGAATCGTTTGTCTGAGTAATGTTTTTACTCAATTGCCTGCTAAAACAGTACTGAAAAGGGCGCAGCTTTTTCGTCGAGCTGATAATAAAGTAAAGACGAAGATCTTGCGAAACACTCATACAACAGACAGTTTTTGTCGGTGTACTGAAGGCGTAAGTCCTTTTAACAGATTGAAAAATATAAGAGTATAATCACACTATATTATGATAATGTGATTGGAAAAACTTTTATCGATCTATGAAGTCCGGACCGACCCAATGAAATTTAAGGTTCGTATATACGTACACACATTGTACACGATATCAGACACATGGTGGCATAGACAAAATAAGATTCTTCTATATTGCGTGAACAGTTAATCGGCACAGTTTGTCTGCTGGTACATCACATTGAGCACATCAGGTGCTCGAATGTCCTTTTACAGAGGGCTACGTCTGGTGGTTGCAACTAAGATATCTGTAGATATAAATGAAACTTTACACGTATTTTATGTTTAAGTAAAGGCTTTTAAGTAAATTATGGTCTAATCACTAGTATAAAATTCGAAAAAGAAATAGGTGCTAGTCTATGGAGTATAGGTAATGTAATTGAAAGGAAATTATCTCCAATCATGAGATTTCAAGTCCAAGTATTTGCTAAATGACTACTTACTAAAGTTTATTATAATACAGTACTATACATTCCAGTCTGGGAAATCTATAATATTTATATAGAGAAAGAAGAATATAGAAAATTTATAAAAGAGTTTATGACCTGTAAATAGCTTCCTATAGTTTATTTCATTGCTATGCACCTGTACTAGCTGTTGGTATTTCTAAAATAAACATGTCATTATTGAAAGTCATTTTCCAACAAGTACTTTGACGAGGAGAAAATAACTTTATGTCAAGCACAAAAAAGTCTTAAAAAATATTTAACATTGCATAACAACATTAGTTGCAATAATAAAAGAATTTTAGAGCTACAAAAACTCACCATTTATGTATCCAAACTAGCAATCAAGTTACGATTTTGGCATAGATTAGAATTCATGATTCCTTTGTGTAAAATTATTTCATAAATGAGCTGATGACATGCAACGAAACATATTCACTATTTGCAAGGGTAAAGTATAAGACCATTGGACATCCGTTGACGATCCTTATCAGCCATGGCGGCAAATGTGTATTCTGATGACTTGATTAGCTTCTAAATGCTCTCCGCAACCTGGAAATTCAGTTTTTGTAAATATTAAATTTATTACTACGAGCCTAAAGAAGATAACCAAGAAAGTGTAATTTTGTTACGCTATAGGTATTTTAAAATTATAGGAGAAATAAGCTTTTACTGCCCAACTATTTCTATACTAAAAATCCTATCTTTGTCTTTACAGTGCGATATGAAAGAATAAAATGCTTCTCATTTATAACATGATCGTTTAGTGTGATTGCACTACTTTACTCAGTCCGAGTATTTGTAAGCCGTCGCACGCAACCGATGACGTGTGGAGATGCGTCGGCGGATACGCTACCCGCCGTCGGTCACAGCATCTCTAGTATAGTTCGTTCTACATAGCACGGGTACTGTGACGTTTGGGATTTGAAGCTTCCTATGTGAATAAGATTATAGTCGCATTCAGTCACGATTATGAACGTTGTTTGAATTGTCGTGTTTATAGCGGGCAAAATGAACAATAAAATATTAAGGTTTTTATTTTTAGAAGAAGAAGAAGAGGATGCACTAATTTTTTATAAAAGGTTAATGAAATATACACAAATCGACAAAATTAAGGTGCATCATACAAAATCATTTTTATTATTAAAATAACTGATTTTCAAACACGATTCAAACAGGAAGCCGAGGCGTGTACCCGTCGTTATGCTTCAAAATAAACCGGCTGACGCGTGTGACCGTAGCCCGCTCACGCTCCCCGGCTTTTTTGTAAACCTAGCGCCGAACATCTTTTATGTTCGGAGATGTCGTTGGATATGCGCCGGTGACGGGCGGCGGCGAGTACCTGTGCCCTAGAGTATGAGCGTGGCGTGGTCGCGCAGCAGACGGCGGCGGGCGCGCAGGGTGGCGGCGGCGAGGGCGTCGGAGGGCGGGGGCGGGCCGGGCGCGCGGGGCCCCGCCTCCTGGTAGTACACCTGCGCGCCCCCGCACCGGCACCCCACCACCACGCTCTCCTCGCTCCTGGATAAGGGAAATTTTTACATTATAATATTCAGTCCATCCGGCATAACGTACTTTTATTAGATTATTCCGGAGTTTTTATCCTTTGCACGTGATTTATGATATTAAATTAAATTTGCATTAAAAGTTTAACATTCATTTCTTAAATTTTCACGCGCACTATCCATACATGGAACAACATTTAAATGGTTGCATCTTGTTTGTATTTAGATTTATTGACGTGTCGGACCCTTTACAGGTGGCGTGTCCACATAAGACTAACGCGACTCCGCTAAGCCTTTTTTTATTGCCATAACGACAATAGAATATTATATAATTCTTATTATATTATATTTTAACCTAATAATTATATTAGTATAAGTTTTGAAATACTGCCAACTACATGATTACAAGCCTTTACATATAGTTATAGATATAATTTAATATAATAAATGAACACTACCCAACCATATATTCAGCATGTAGGTATTGAAGTTAAATAACTGGTACAAATATTATCGACTGACCTTAATATGAATTCAGCTAATTCCGGGTCATCACAGAACTCGTTGTGTATGAGTCCCATTGTGGCGATGTCTAGCGCGGGCCAGGGTCCTCCCTTGTTGACGGTGCCCCAGTCGGGGTCCAGCGTGAGGTAACTGTACTCGGTGCACTCCCCCCCCGCGCCCGCACTCAGCGGCTCCATGCACTTCTGCTCTATGGGACCAAGGGCGTTCAGCGACGTGTCCCACTGCCAATAATAATGACACATTCCAATAATACTATACAGAGTGTTCAAAATAAATATTTAAATCATTATATTAGTTATTATAATGCGAGCCAAACAAGAATAGGACTGTCAAACAGTCTCGGTTCACATTGTATCGTACTTCAATTTCAGGGTGTAGAGTTTGCAAAAAACATATATTCTTATATATCAACGCATTATTGTAGTACGATATAATGGATTAAGGCACACTGACGTTTGTAATTGAACCCGAAATAATTTTAGGATGGTCAGAGTTAAAAATATGACAAAAACCGTCAACATCATAGTTAATAATAAAAAAAGATCAACTGGAATATAAAATTTATTAATTCTTAATAAAGTCGTGTTAATACTAATATTAAATATTATATATATGTAGATATCGGCAAAGACCTTTGTTATCCAAAATGAAATCTTTTATTTTTCTTCTTTTATAAGATACAAAGGGGGAATCGTACACGCTCTTATTCAAGAGAAAAATTACCATATTTTTTCATCTATCGTCTTACATTCCATTTCCCACATTTACAAAGTTAGACGAATCCAAAAAATATTTAGTGATCTTTATTTTATTTGCTGTCAGTACTAAAATGTCAGCTGTCATTAAGTTTCATAGCTACTAGAGGACAGCACTGACCCGCCTTAATTTCGGAGCGAGTTGCTGACAACTTGTAATAGCGGCTTAACTTCAAAGTATTATGTTAAAACTCGAAAATCAAAATTGTTGTTTATTATGTTAGCAATCTAATCTTGCGGAGTTGCTTGTCTTTTGTATATAACTTAGATTAGAATGTATAACTGACCAGTGCATGTATAGTGTCAGGCTCTGGCTCTGGTTGCAGTAGACATATTAGCGCCATATTGTGTAGACCGCTCACGAACAAGGCACACTTGACAGCATTCTGACCGTACTCCGCTAGCTGATCTATATCACCTTCGGAATCGGAGTCCGATTCTGACTCCTGTCTTTGAGGTTTAGGTCTGAAAGTTCATTCATTAGTTCTTTTCTGAAATGCATATTTACTGTAGTTTCTAAGCTGTTCAGTCAACAGCAGATCAGATAGTCTTAAACAAATTTCTCTAACGAAACTTTAAGTGATTTTTTTAAAATTAAGTTTAGAATAGATGGCAGAAATTTTACTATCTCTTGTAGTTCTCATTTGTGATAATCTGATATGCTGCTTTATGTAGTTACGGCAAAAACAGCCATTAGCTTACGTAATAAACCCATACATTTGATACATGAGTATCAAATGTATGGGTTTTATATGAATTTATATGAATAAAAGAAGTTATTATGGAATTAAAAACTCAAAAACTTCTGAGTAATTTGTCATATTAAATTTAGAAAGGCACTTCGTTAGCTCAATCGGTTAAGATTCAATTTCAAGATTAATTTGTGCCATAGTAATAACAGATTGAATTTTCGGTTCAAAGCGAATTTCAATCTCTGAAAAACACAACCAGGGCAAGAGATGACATCAGCAGTCAAAGTGTATTTCTTAATTATATATTAATGGGTTCCTGCTGAAGAATATCACTCATTGAAAATCTAAATACAGAATCTATCACACCTGCCAACAAGCGCAAATCATGGGCTGTAATGACTGCTACTCACCTGTCTGTAAATGTGACTTGTCTCTCTGCAGCTGGCGTGAGGAATTCACGAAGTTCAAGTGGTGTCATTACTCGACTGCTGTAACCGCTGGACTTGTCTGAAAACGCCAGATGACTCAGTTTTTCCATCAGCGGCGTCAGTTGCACACCAGTCAGTTTCTTCTTAAAACTGGTCGCCTCAGAATCTGATCCGATTTGCGAATCTGAACTGTCTGACAGTGATTTTAAAGGTAAAGACAACGATTTTCGCCTGGATTGGTCGGCCGGCGCAGTCTTAGTGGTTTCTTTGGCTATCTTTTTAGGCGTCCTTTGCGGAGACCTATTCAATTCTGAGTCAAAATCTTCGAACTTCTCTTGTTCGCACAGCTTCATATTATAAGTAAACATGTTGTCTTCTTTGGCCTCTTGCTTCATTCGTGCGTAATACTGCTCTATGTACTGGTTGAAGAGAGATTCTGATATGGCAACGCCGTCGTTTCTAAACACAGGGAATGAGGGATCGTTTATAGTTAGCGACGTCCGGTCTTTTTGAATCTCTCGTTCGGGCGACGGAGTCATGTCATCGTTTAGGGGTACGTTGGCCTTTTTCAATTTAAACCTGGACGTCGTTCTGTTTGATAGCCTTTTATATGTATCCTGTATATCAGTGACGCTGGCTAGCTTTCTTAGAGGGTCCGGTTTGTTGATATAATGGTCACCGATACAGTTGATGTCCAAGACAATTTTGTTGTCCCTCTTTTCGTTTTCTAAATTGATTTTCGCACAGTTCTCTATATTTTTCAATACGTCCGGTTCAGGCGGTTTCTCGGGTTGATTTTCCGGGTTCTGCCGGCATATCGACAGCATATTTCCGTGTAGACGTTTATATTCCACCATGGGCGTTCCACATACGCTGGTCTGACCGGTGAACACATTTTCGTTTTCCTTACAATCTTCCTCTAAAGATTTCTGTGTTTTGAAGCTGAGCGACAGTTTGGTGGGTCTTTGCCGCGGTTTGTTGGTGAAGGGGACGACGTCGGGCATGCTCGGTTTCCGTTCTTGACTCAAGGTCGGCTGGTCATCGCGGTTCGGAGGTGAAATCATAGTGTGATCTTCTTCAGGCACTGCGGTGAACAGTAAAGATTTGTCCCTTTTCATGCCCGTTTGGGGAAATTCCCGTTGCTTTTCGCGTTCTACTTCTTGATTCTGCAAATATTTTAACCTATAAACATTGAAATTGCTACCTTTTTTCTTATCATTGTAATAAAATAGAAACCTCATTACGAATCTGTGGAAGAATTTTTAATATGATAACATCAAAATATGTTGGTTATTATGAGCCTGAGATGACTCACCTTTTTAAACTTAGCTACCATCTCCTCTCCGTTATCATGGAACTCTTGCAATATCTGCGCTTGACGCTTCAGATTGTTAAATGTCTTCTTGCCTATGTAGACCACCAGTAACTGAGCACCTAGCGGTAAGGGGGTCTCTGTATCGAGTGTCTCCGCTGGCGACTTTATCCGATATGGATCTACCACTGTTAAATATGAAGTGAGACTTGGAGGAAGCTGGGTGGCGATTATTCTGGTGGGAAGAATATTTCGCAATGAGTATAGAAACAAATAGAACTATTTAGAGTGATATTCCGGTCATTGCAATGTGTTTAATATGTATATAATTACGTGGTCCACAGTTTTATGATTCTCTAAAATTTCAATAGAATATAAAAAATATGAGTATGAGTATAAAAAGTAAGAGAGTTTGTTACAGTTTATAATGTAAAGGTGTATTAATACAAAATCCTAATTAGTATTTTCTGTTTTTTACATGTTGGTAAGTTTACAGAATTTATTAAAATCTAAAAATTTTAAATAAACCGGAATTTAATACTAAGATATTAACAGAATAAAGTATTAAAATATTTTTTCTGGTCACATTCTAATGTTTATAGCAAATATATTGGCATTTTGCTAAATGTTTTATTCACGGAAGTCAATCACTTAAAATTATCAAGTTGGTCATTCGTTGAACTTTATAAGTCATAGGTTGCTGATCTCTGCTTTAGATAATATACATTGACAAAAACCAACTAAGTGCGAGGCGGTTTATTTTATTCTGTTTTTAGCATCAGTTGTTATAGCGGTCACAGAAAAACATCGTCTGTGAAAATTCACACTCACTATCTGTCACGGTTCACGGGATACAGCTTGGTGACAGACTAACTGTGGAGCCTAAGGCTGCAAATCTATAAATTGAAATGAGCGATCCAATCGCTGGCGTCGAGAACGGAAAAAAGAAATCTTAGATAAAAACAGAGAGCCACTAACAGGTCGTCACAGATGGTATACATAAAAAAGTAAATTATAAGGAAAAAAAGTAGCCCTTCCCAAGTTTCTTGCCGGTTTTTCTCGGTACAAGGTATCCCGCCATAGTCTTACGGACCGATGGCTTAGAGTTTCGACTTTTACGAGTGCTTTGAAACAGCCTAGGCTGTATAAATTAAACTAGATTTGATATACTAACTTGTTGTTGTACAGTACGACGCCGCCCAGCACACCTTTACTCTTGCGACAGTGATCTAATATTTGCATTGCCTCCATGTAAATCGACGTGGCACTCTGTCATCGAAACAAAGCATGTCATTGTTTCTGCAATATAACTTTTCAAAGAAAAATGTCATGGTAAGTTCAATTTATCTTTTTCTAGCGACGTTTTCTCTCTTCGCCGTAAATGGTTAGTTATTTGTGTTAATAATATGAGTTTGGTTTTACTTGTTTAAGCTTTTTAGCACGCAAATGAATGGCGGATTTGAAGCTATTAAACATTCTCTACCAGTTTAAATGAATTTATTATTATTTTTCAAATATTTGACAATCACAAATGCAAATATTGTTTTATAGAAAGAATATTTCAAATAGTGTCACAGGCAAAACTTGAACTCCTAATGTATATCTTGTTAGCTTAGAATCTAAGTGAATTCAAAATTTACTATAATTTTGTAGGTTTATATCTATAATATATAAAGTTTAATATATATTTCTAATAGTCCATTTTGAAAGAAAGTTTGGGATCGTCTGGCATAGATCTTATTTAGAATTTCAATGCAATCACAATGTTTCGTAACGACGTTACCGGTTTTTTATCACCTATATTTAGATTTATAGGTACGCTATGATACAATTGCAGTGCCATTAAAATTGCATTTACCAGGTAGCCGATAAAGAGCTGTGTAAATAAACACTTCATATAATCAATATTGTGCAATCTCTATATCTTTATTTTGTTTGCGATTTTATACATTGATGTATCTGTACACACATTTTGTAGGTATATTTTTTCATATATATTAGTCACGCCAGTTTTTTATTACTTAAAAAAAGTTTGGTTATTATTGTAATGCTAACACAGAATTATTATTTTCAACTAATTTACTATCAAAGAGAAAATGCCCACAGAACAAAATTTATAAATTTAATATATTTTGTATAGATTTCTTATATTTTCACATGCATCCATAAATGAAACAACTTTTAAACTAATTTATTAAATGAAGATGAGTATGATATTTTATATTGAACACTGAGTATGAGTTTTCCCATATTGATATTTAATTAGATACAATAATTCTTCGCCACAGTAAAAAAAAAAAAACTTGTATGTGGGAAAAAATATAAAATGAAAATATTATGTTGATGCTACTGTTTAGAATAAAGAAAATTGCTATATATTTCCCACATTCTTAATGTGAATATAAAGCTCCCTTACCTTAGGAAGACTCAACATTGGCACTCTTTGGAATATATGACATCCATACTGCAACACAGGCAGGTATGTCTCAAATATCTGATAAAGCTTCTCAGCTAGACGTTTCCTGTCTTCCATCTGTGTGGCGAGGACTTGGAGGTCTCCGTGGTAGACCTTTATCATGGACGTGAGTAAGTTGGCGCGATTCTTTAGCACCCAATCAGGAATGTTACGGTCACTGCCAATGGCCTGGGGGCAAAGTAATGTTAAATTTGATAGTAAAAGTGAATATGCATCATAGTTAATATATAAATAAATAATAAATATTAAAAAACAATACATACATTGCTCAGATTCCAAGATGAGTAGCTAAAGCCCACGTATTATGGAGTATCTGAGACAACGAAGATACCACAACACCCAGACCCGAGTCAATATAGAAAAGTTCATTTACTACATTGACCCGACCGGGAATCGAACCCTGCGACCTCAGAGATGGCGACACCTTGTAAACCGGCGTGCGAACCACTCGGCTACGGAGGTGAAACTGAATGTACTTGTAAAAGTTGAAGCGACTCCGTGTATCTGGCTTGCTGGTGTCAGGATCATCCTTATTATTTATGTTACAGATGTGCTGGTTTCATAAATGATTGATAGAGTGTTCAATATAATTATATTAATATAGTGGTACGAAATTATTTGTAATTTATTTTATTAAATTGTTTCTTGTTTTGTAAAATATATGGATAATATAAGATTAATTAATTATAGTTTTATTAATGATGGCTAAGTTATTTAACTCACCAGTATATACTGGCCATACTCCCTGATGATAAACTTGCCGCTTTGTAGCGTGATGGCCAACGGTTGAGAGAACAAGGACTTGACACAGTGAGCTGTACCCACCACCTATGACAACAATAAAAAATATTCCTATTAAGAGTTAGATCTACTATGCGAGTATTAGAAACATTTGTAACGACTTTAGAGCAATAAACTAAAAATAGTGTCTTAATTGGCGGCGCATTTGTTCCGTATGGACAAGGTCTTAACTAGATACCAAAAGAGTATAAAATCAATCTAAGAAATCTATTTTTACAAATTTGTCTTTACATTAATTAATTATAATTTAATTATGTTTAAAATATAAATTTAAAAACAAACTATAATCTCAACTGATCATCTAATGTACATAATACTAGTTTATGTAAGTATTTATATGTTTGGCCATTAGTTATTTTTAAGAGGGCATATATAACCAAACTGATTGTGAAAAAGGTGCAGTAGGGTTCCGTGCAAATGGTCTGGTATGACATACTCCAGGACCAAGGGGCTCATTTATACACTCTTTAATTTATTATAAAGTGAAAAGTGACAAAATAAAATTGATTTTAATTTTTTATTTCAACACATTTAGACTTTTGATGAATTGGAGTAATTTGACAAAAATATTAACCTGATGTGTTGATTGTACTACAAATACATAAATTTACCAAGATTGTCTTGGTAAATTTGGAGTGGAAATATTAATGTTTGAAATACTGTTGCTAAATAATTGATTATTATTGAATTAATTTTACATTAGAAATATAAAAGTTACAAAATGTTTCAAATAGTAAAATAAATTTAAAATTTTACAAGGTCATCTACTTTTAACATTAAATGCTATAATTTTCTTTCTTTCTTTTTCATCTCTCTATCTATAATCAGTCTCTAGGTTTTAATTAGACACACTAACTTCTATCAATGCTATAAAATATCATTGATATGTATGGTTTTAACAGTTTGGAAAAATTACCTGGCCAGCTAAAGCATGCCGTTGTGTGTCTGAGACCCATCCAGGATGAAAATATAACACAGCATCTATTGGATCATCTTCTTCAGATGTGCAGCATTGTGTGTCATACACGAAGACAATCATCATTTCCCTGATTCACAAAAGAAAAAAAAACATTCTAATGTAGCTGCAACATAAATAAGCAGGAGTTATTTAGTAAAAAATATTATATTTATGTTATTACGATTTAGTGTTCTACAAGACAGGTTATAAATAAAAACATTTATATTTAACCAGCAAATGTTGTTTAAATATTCGATATAACAATGCAATATTATCAATTTAGTCTTATTTTAAATAAGATTAGTAATCGGATCTAACACTAAAAGTAGAGAGAGCTTTCCTCTGAAAAGTTTAATCTCAATTTACATTAATACTCAGAAGTACGTGTGATTGGATATGCATATAAATTTAATAGAATTCTACTTTAATAAATACATTAAACAAAGGTTTGCATGAATACAATCACAGTCATTAATTGTGAAATGTAGTAGTGATAATAAAGAGTCTCTAATCCGCTATTTAATCCATTTAAAGTACATAATAGAGAACTTTATCAATTATAACTTGTCTTACTTGGCCATTTTGAGAGAAATTCTTGTCCTTTTTCGATAAACTAAGATGCTCTTCACTTCATGTCACTTTTAATTACTAGACTAATGGTATACAACAGAAATCGATCACAGTTTTATTTTATTTTCATGTTTTTACATCAATACAACACAATTCGCGACCTGCCTTGCTTGGACACTTTTTTGACAGTGTTTATTCTTGGCTTGGATGCTTGTCCTTTAGGCGAAACATGTTACAATCACATTTACAAAATATAATATTCTATCTTATAAACTAATTATTACAATTCAATAATAATCAGTATTCAAAAAATAAACAGAAAGTGGAATTACTAGAAAAAAAATGAACAAATACATAAAAATAAAAAAAAAACAAATGTCATCAAACTTAACCTAAACTTTATGATACAAAACAAAACAAACATTGCAAAGAACAAAGACAATTTAAATTATTAAAAGAACAATATAAACTTAAATTATTTACAATAAATTAACAGTGTTGCATATATATTTGTATATAGTTAAATAGAACCTTGGCTCCGATAATATGTCTGTAATGCGGCGGGGAACACTAGTTTTCATCTCATCCGAAATTGATTGAAGTTCATTAGCGAACAGCAGTCTCTGGATACCAAAAGCAGAGCAGGTAAAGAATAAATGGTCAATATCAGCATTTAGTTGTTGGCAGTGATTGCACCGACTATCAGCTTTTATTTTAAGTCTGTGAAGATGACTTGGTACTAAGCAGTGGCCAAACCGAAGCCTGTTGATTGTAGTGATGAATTTTCTTGAGTCACATTGTTTATTATTATACCAAGGCTTCACGGGAAAACTTTCTTGTACACTAGCATACCAACTTCCTTTAGATACTTTGATTTTAGTCCAATAGGCTAACCAGAGTTTTTTAACTTCAGCTTTCACAATGTGGAAATAGTCAGTGAAAGGAATTATCAGTTGATCTGTGTGATCTTCATCATGTGATGATGTGAGAGCTTTGTCAATAATTTCATTTCCCGCTATACCTCTGTGGGAAGGCACCCATAAGAATTCAACAGTAATTCCATTAGTGCTCAGTTCATGTACAAGGTTTTTTATGTTATAAACTAAATAATTCAACTTATAATCTACTTTACAACCTAATAAAGCTAAAAGAACACTTTGTGAATCACTAACTATTAGAATATGAGAAATATTTACATTTTTTACATACTTTAAGGCTTGTAAAATAGCATAAGCTTCTGCTGTAAAAACACATGCAACATTATTTATGCTGAAAACTCTGGTAAAATTTGTTTGTGGATCAAAAAAGCCTGCTCGTACCCATTTTTCAGTTTTAGAACCGTCTGTAAATATTTTATATACATTTCTTTTACTATTCACTATTTGTAAAAAATCAAAATTACTATCAATATTAGTCAATTGAACTGTACATTGGAAAAATAGTGCTTTATAACTACATTTGTAAAATGGCCAAATTTTATCATTACATATATACATATTTACACAAATCTTTGTAATTTTTGACATAATTGAACATATTTCTGGTGTAGTTCCATGCATTAATGAATCTTCAGTTACAATATGATCAGGTATATTTTGTGCTATTGTTGGTGGTAGCATCAAATTATTTTTAACTAAATGATTATTTGAAAAAAGCACTTTTATACAGAACTTTTGAGCTAGAAAATATCGCCTTATTGAAAGAGGTGAGATGCAAGTTTCTACCTCCATAGCATTTATTGGTGTAGACTTCATGGCACCAGATATAATTCTTAAAGCAATATTTTGCAAAACATCTAATTTTCTCAGTAATGTTGAACTACAGTTCATATAGGCTAAGCAACTATAGTCAAAATGACTACGTACTATACTTTTGTACAATGTGGATAGTATTTTAGAATCAGCACCCCAAGATACTCCTGCCAAACAACGCAATAAGTTAATACCTCTATGAGCATTCCTAATAATGTAATTTATGTGATGTTCAAATTTTAATTTTGAGTCAATAATAACACCTAAAAATTTATGGTAATTGGAGACAGAAATTCTTAAATTTTTATATTTTACATTTACCTCATCATTAGTACCAAACACCATAACACAACTTTTCGATGGATTAATTGTAAGTTTCAGTTCATTTTCATAATATGCTTGTAGTTGCTGTAATGCTAAATTAAGTTTAATAGTAGCTGATTCAACATTTCTATTCACACAATATAAAAGTAGGTCATCTGCAAATTGCAGAACTTTAACATCACTGGTAATTCTGAGCATTAATTGTGAGGTATATAAATTATACAAAATAGGAGACAGACAGGCACCTTGCATAAGACCTTTATAAGCATTTTTAGGACCATGTAGAATGTTATTGAATTTAACAAAGACTGTTCTGTTATAATAAAAATGAAAAATCCATTTTATCAATTTTCCAGGAATACCAATATCTGATAAGACTTGAGACAATTGGTGTAAATTAACATTGTCATAAGCACCCTGAACATCAAGGAAGACGGATGGAGAATTGTTATGACTTAAGATGCATTTTTTAATGTCAGTCAGAAAAGTCACAAAGCTTTCAGATGCACTTCGGCCACGTCGGAATCCGAATTGATTTACTGGTAAGATATTGTGAGTTTCAACAAAGTAGTCTAGTCGTGTTTTTATCATGTGTTCAAAGAGTTTGCCTAAACATGATGACAATGAAATTGGTCTATATGAATTATGATGGTTTACTGGTTTGTCAGGCTTTAAGATGGGTATAATGCATTGGGTTTTCCAAGAACTGGGAATAAGTTGATTTTGCCATAATATATTATAAATTTGTAATAAAATTGATTGAGCAGATTTATGGAGCTTTTTAATCATAATGTATGGAATATTATCTAAACCAGGAGCAGAATCCTTTCGTGAACTTATAGTTGCAACGAATTCATCCCATTGAAATGGTTCTAATAACAAAGAAGTATTACTATTGCTATTGTTTAATTCAAATAGATGGCTGATGCTGTCATTTTGTTCTGCTGGTTCAGTGAATCTGTTTATAAAATTAGGAATCCACTCATCATTTTTAGAACAAGATTTACTGTCACTACCCTTGAACCTTCTAATAAAGTTCCATATGCGTGTAATAGGTGTATATCTATTAAAAGAATGGCATAAGTTTTTCCAACTGTTCTTTTTTTCTTCTTTTAATATAAGTTTTTTACGAGCGTCTAGCTTTTTATAATTAATGTAATTATCTAATGTGCAGTTATTTCTATATATTTGCAGAGATTTGCGCGAGTCCTGTACGGCGTTAGCACATCTATCGTTCCACCAAGGAGCCGGTCGATGAATCTTTTTACCTACTTTATTTTTATATAAAGGTATACACTCATTTTTTAACAAGTCAAGTATTAAACAAAAATTTTCATAAGTGTGAAATGGATTGTCATGATTTACAACAAAGTCTCTTACATATTCTTCAGACTTAATATAATATTTTATCCAGTCAGCTTTCCTATAAATAAACTTTTCAAAATCGTTATTAATTTGGTATAATATAGGAGATATTTTAATATTTATAAATGTTGGATAATGATAACTTCCTAATGGATCATCTCCTACGCGCCACTCGCATAACGGCGCAAAAGCTGGACTAATACAACTTATGTCAATTGCAGAGGTGTTTCTATTGTGAGACTGAACCGTTGTATGTTCTCCTGTATTTAATATGCATAAGTCATTGTCATCAAAAATTTCGAATATTTGTCTACCTCTAGAATTTGTGCTATGGCAGCCAAAAGCAATGTGATGTGCATTGAAATCGCCCGAAACC